CGATGGATGGATTTACAAAGGACACAAACCGTAGTCTCCTGGATGAAAGGTCAGTGTTTTCAGACCTTTAACCAGAACTTCCTCTCGGTGCAGACTTTGTGGCTTTACAACACCTGCCTAGACACCATCATTTCTTGGGCCCTGTGTTTTTTATAATTTCCTGTAAGTTCTATATTTTGTCTAAATGATCAAAAGATAAACCAGACTAACCCGAACACTGCTGCCCCCCCCCCCACACACACAAAATCCTTAACAAAGAAAGACAGCAAATGCAAGTTGTTTTGGGTTTATAGTCTTGGAATCAAACCTCTCCATCAAGGCAAGCAAAACCAGCAGACAACCTAGAAAATGACAGGACAGTATGGAATAAATAAAGATAACACCAGAAAGGCTGTGCATCTCAGCACTTCCGGAATGTCAGTTTAACTACCTGAGAGGATCAGAGTTTGAGAAGCAAAATGCTGAAATACCAGGATGTCATTTAATGGTTGACAGTCAGGAACCTGGTAGTTACCTTCAAGGACTTGAGGCTGACAATCCGGTTCTGCTATTTCCCTGTCTGCACAAGTCAAACTAACAAGCTACACGCTAACGATGGCAACAATTGCCAAAATGCTTCCATTTGGGTATTTACATGTGCAACTCCTTTCTAAACCCTTGTGGTCCACCTGTTGCTCCCTTGTGTGCGATTGACCTTGTATGAGCACAGAGATGGGCAAGAATACAAAATACCCTCAAATAGATTCCAGAAAATGTAAAAAAATATAATACATGTATTTTGTATTTAAAATATGGAAAAATACTTTTCTGGATTTTCTGTTTTCTCACAATTTGGTAAAGCAGAGAATTTAGGTTTGGGCAATATAATGTACACAAAGCTCTGGTGAACCCCACAAAAAGAACAGTCACAGAATGTCAGTGTAACGTAGTTACAGACAAGTAAAGTAAACAACATGATTGAGTATGTGTGTGTGTGTGTATATATATATATATATATATATATATATATATATATATATATATATTTCTTTTCAATAAGGCTGTCAATAAGATTAATGTAGCCGGGATTAATGCGATAAAATATATAAACGCAGCTAACGCAACTTTCTTTACTTCTGGTGTGCGTTCTGGTGACGCAAAACCGCTGCGTTGCTGCAGTCAGTTATATCGGAAAGAGACAGGAGACAGAAGTTGAAGATGGAGAGAGCTTTTTGCATTGGAAGTGAAACAAAAAGTGGTGCGACATACAGCGGAAAACTCCACAAAGACTGCTCTCCTCGCTGTCTCAGAGCAACTCCACACTACTAGAGCCGTCTCTTTCTCTTCTGTCCTCATCCTTCTGGACCTCTCCGCTGTATTTGACACAGTCAACCACCAGATCCTTATTTCCTCCCTTCAGGAACTTGGTGTCTCAGGCTCTGCTCACTTCCTTCTCTCGTCCTACCTCGACGGCCGCATCTACTTCCAGCCTGCTTCAAGGCCTCCACCATCATCCCTGTTCCCAAGAAGCCCAGGATCACAGGACTCAATGACTACAGGCCTGTCGCCCTGACCTCTGTAGTCATGAAGTCTTTTGAACGGCTAGTCCTGACCCACCTGAAGTCCCTCACCGACCCCCTCCTGGACCCCCTGCAGTTCGCCTACAGAGCCAACAGGTCTGTGGACGATGCTGTCAACATGGCCCTCCACTACGTCCTCTTCTCACTCAGAAGGCTGCCCAGGTATTGATTCAGGCTCTTGTCATCTCCCGCCTGGACTACTGCAACTCCCTCCTGGCAGGTCTCCCTGCTACCGCCATTCGACCTCTGCAGCTCATTCAGAATGCAGCAGCTCGACTGGTCTTTAACCTTCCGAAATTCTCCCACACTACTCCACTCCTCCCGCTCTCTTCATTACATTACAGGTCATTTAGCAGATGCTTTTATCCCCCCAAGGCTGCGTTCTTTCCCCTCTGCTCTTCTCCCTGTACACCAACAGCTGCACCTCCAGTCACCTGTCCGTCAAGCTCCTGAAGTTTGCGGATGACACCACCCTCATTGGACTGATCTCTGGTGGTGATGAGTTTGACCATCTGGCCCCATCAGCAGTCGGTCTCATCAACAGAACCCGGTTCCCCCAATGACTGACTCATTTTTCCACCGATCACTCCCTTCACACTCCACATGCACACACATTCGTCACTTGTCAGTTTCGCATACACTCACAATACAGTTGTGTAGAGTATGACCATCATCACCATTTTTAATTTTTATCCCTTTATTCTTATACCAACCCATAGCTTTATATTTTTATTTTATTCCTCTTTGCGTTCAGTCTGCCTCGTGAGGCAATAAAAAGCAGCTTATTCTACAACAAAATCTAGTACGGTAACACAAACAAACAAAAGAATTCAATTGAATATAGCCTCAACGCGTTCTAATCACACAAACTGGCGTTTTCCAGTTCAGCTGTCTAGTTTTTCCCGTGACAGACCGCCGATAAGTCTAGTGGCGTAATTCCACCACCAATTCAGTTTTTTGGACACAGGCACAATCAAAAATGCTCTGGTAACTAAGTCAATTGACTTTTTAATCCTTGGTAAACTCAGGGTCACCCCAGAGAACATGTGACATCATTGTGGCATTTGTTGTTCTCCATAATATTGCAATTATTAGAGGAGAGCACCCTGCCTTACAAACCAATGACCCCGAGGATGAGCATCCCATCCACCCTGCAGATGTCCAGGATGGAAGGGCCGTAAGGGACCTAATCACCCGAAATTACTTTTAAGTCAAAAAATAAAATACAGACAAATCCACATGTGATTTAATTTTTCTTTATTCCCTAAACGTACAAAAGCAACAGTCAGGATTTGTAATATAGTTCCAAACATTGACATATTCACCGGTTAATTCCCCATGACAATGCACCCACCTCAACTGGCTTTCCAGTAGTAAAATTTCAAGGTCGGCTTTTTGAATCTGCCGATCCAGGTACACCATTTCTTTCTCCGTTTTTTTAATTGTTTTTATCAGATGCACCCCGTACAACTCCTTTACTGGTAACTAGGAAACATATGGACGACATTTAATTGCTACAGTTCCACATACAGATTTAACATGGTATTGACCGAAAATCTCACTGTTTCAAGCTGTGCTGTGGACGTTGATGGACCCTCCTCCTGGTGATGCCCAACCATGTTCTGTTCAAGGACAAGAATGTACTAGTTTGCCATTATATATGCTCATCACTTCAGTCTACATGTCAATATCCAAATTCCACTTTAGAATGTGAATAGGCAGAGCACTGCCAGTAGATAATATTAAGACACACTTCAGTAGGCCCTTGCGGATCTCTCCCTGTTGCAGCACAGCGTTTCCTCCTCCTCCTCCTCATCATCCTCATGTTTCCAACTACCATCTGAGGCAAGATCGGAATATGGAATACTTACAGCTGCAGGGTTTACAACTGTTTCAGTCGGAGGCTGAACTAGGCAGATGACACCATCCACAACTGTTGGGTGGGTGTATATATATTTATTAAAAATAAGTTTATTTTATATATATATATATATATATATATATATATACTACCGTTCAATTATATTTCAAATAAAAATCATTATTTCTAATCTTGTCACTGTCTTGACTATATTTTCTATTCATTTTTCCAACTGATTTGATGAATAAATTCATCGTGGAAAACACAAAATTGTCTGGGTATATGTTAGTTTATTTTTTTTAAAGAAGTGTATACTTGCATCTGATGAAGTCACTTGTGTCCTGGGGGGTGACAGACCCGGATGAGCTTCCCCCGGGCTTTCCTTCAGCCACGGGGTGACCACTGTTTAGGCTGAGGGCCAGCTCCTCCGCCTCTGTCAGAGGTGGTGGAGGGAGGTGGCCCTCCACCTGTTTTCGGGCCTCTGCTTTCTTTCTGTTGGCTGAGGAGAACTCATGGTTTCTTTGTTTTTTAAAGCGTCACATTTTAAATGACTTCGATAGGAGACACTTACAGACACATTTTTATTTTATACATAAGTGGGATATTAAGTAAAAAGACCTGTAAATTTACTATTTCAAGTAGACACTGAAGTAATATTTACTTAGGCTATTAAACAAAGTAAATAAAAAAAAACAATTAAAATTAAAGTGAGGTGCAATCATACCCTAGCAATATATGCCATGCCTTTTTTAAACTATGTTTTTATATTTCATTTTTAGCTGCTTCCAGGTCCTTTTTTCCCCTGTTGGATTGCACCTAAATGAAAATCAGATTTCATTCCTACTTATATTCAGAACTATAGGCTGCGACGATCTTACGGTTAAATGTTATGTCAATGGAACAGTACATTCAAACTTACGCTTTGACTCGGGCAGCGATTTTTCCCCACGCAGTCTCTCTCTCCTTCGCTGCTGCAGCTGCATTCCATTTGCGGCGAAATACATGCTCACCGTAGGCCTGCAGAAGGACCTCCAACTCCATCGCAGTGAAATAGCTTGCTCTTTTTTTCTGTTGTCATGGTAACTCGTGGTATCGGGGCTCCATTGATGATGGCTTTTTATAATCCATAATGTCGGTCGTCGTGGCGCACAAGGTTGTTGGTTCGATTCCAGGCTGCCCCATGTTCCATGTCGAAGTGTCCCTGAGCAAGACACCTAACCCCTAATTGCTCCCCGGGCAAAAATGTGAAAAAGCCATGGGTTTAAAGTTTAATGTAAGCCGCTTTGGATAAAAGCGTCTGCTAAATGACCTCTAATGTAATAATTGTCATGCCAGCGCTTAACCCAAAGTGAACATTGTTCTGGAACCGGATAGTCAGAGTAAGTCAACTCGGAGTTCAGGGATAGACTCAGAGTTTGTTGAATCTCCTTTCTGGAATACCCCCCAGGTTTAATAAGGCATATCGCTATACTTTGCACTACTCAGCCTCCCCTACACAGAAACCCCCCCACCATGAATTTGCTGCCGCGATGGTATCGTGCATCTGAAGAGTGGTGGTGGTAAAAAAATATCACAGATAATCAGGTTTCAAAACTTTATTCATGCTCCCACAAAAAAAAGTCACTATAGATAATGAAAGACAAAATGTTTGAAACTACAGCAGAGGTAGCTAAAATAGCTTTTCAAAAGTGAAATTTTAAGGTGCATGTTAGGATAAAGTCCCACTCAATACAAATGTTACAGCTGGAGTCCATGACAGTATTATGACATTATGACAAAAAAGTTCCAGGGATCCACATTGTCTCTGGCATTTGTTGAATACAATAAATATCCTGAAATTACATTTTCAATTTTCTGCAGCTTTAAAAAATATCAACAAGTCCTAAAACTGCAGACCTAAATATCGAAATGTGGACCTGAACTCACCAGACCTTCTGATGAGGTTGAGTTTCTCTTAGTCGTTCCACTATGCGGAAGAGCTGCTACTACACGAGCAAGAGCAACTCCTCCCGCTTCAATACATTAGTTAGCACTGCCAACCTGCCCCCCCCCCCCGTGCAGATTTAATGTAGTACCTTTCTATGCGGCTCTCTAAGGAGCAGTACAGGCCTCACTAAGTCCAATTCATCCCTTGTTGTGATGTACTCAGAATTCAAACTTTTCTTTTAAATGGAATGTCACTTCTTTCAAACGAATTACAGGTTGAAGAGAGATAAAAATGTATCCAATGCATATATGAAATGATTACTATACAAGGGTCAGAAGATCATACAAATTCAAAGCAAACACTACGTAAAATATGAGCTTATTTCAGACACCACAGTATCTGAATATTGCAAACACACTGTTGCCTCAGAGAACTTGGCACTGCTGATTAAGTGTGCTATTTATATGTATAAACGAATTGGTAGGTAGTGAAATACAGATTATTTCAACAAATGCCCTTTTCGTTCCCTCGTCTTGCATAAAATCATCATGGAGTGGTATCTACTCATTAGTGTTGGCACAATAAAATGTTGACTACGGTATGTAGGAATCTTTACAAAATAACAAAGATTAGATTTTTATCATTTGAAGCAGGAAAAGAGCAGCTGTGATGACTCTTAAGCCAGTCATCTTTGGAAAATAACTTTGCTACGTTGCTCATTATTTATGCCAATTCGGAGATTATAACTCATAAATAAATATTATGTTCTCACAAGAAGGCCAACTCTGTCTCTACAAAGACGCCTACCACAGAAGAGTAAAAGTTGATCTAGTGTACGAGTATCCCACTTGTCTAACTTTAAACTTTAGAAGTTTTGCTTGATGAAAAGCGATTAGCAGTTTTTACTCCAACCAAGGATTGAAAATATAAATGAGCATTGGAACCAAAACCATTTGAGGGAGTGAGTAAGTGGTAAAAGTGGGAATAACACTTGTGAGACTAAAGTTCATCAGCACCTAACGACTGCTCTGCTGAGATATGAATCTTCCAAGTAGGACACAATACTCTTGTAATTTTAAGATACACATGTTGTTTTTAGGAGTTTTGAGATGTGGAACTCAAATTGTGAGACTCTGTAATGTATGCAATAAGATGCATGTTATTATGAAATCATTGTCTAGCATCTTAGAATTATTAAGTACCAGTACCACCGTTTTCTCTCTCCTGGAGGCTATTGACTTCCATTTGAAAGGTCCTTTTCTTGTCTTAGTGTGGATTGATGTTTTGTGACGGTGCAGGTGGAGGAGAAGTGGTGGGGTCACTCAGCAGGATGTGGGATGCTGAATGGCTTCATCCCTCTGATGGTGGTGGTGTTCCCTCCGCAGTCAACATACTGGTACATCTCCTGAGACACCTGCTCCGCATGACCAAAGTACGTGGTGGTGACGGTCACTCTGTGCGGGGGGGGGGGGGGACACAAGGTGAGGCCTCCACCACAAGCTGCACACACAGTAAGCTCTTGAATGTACAGCATATTAGAATAAAACCAACTCACTGCATCATAACGACAATGTTGTGAACCTTGATGGTCTGGAGAGTGCAGAAGTCACTGAAAAACAAAAGCAGAAGAGGCAAATCTTGCTTGGCTAAGTGCTGTGAGATAGTGTCTTATAATAGCTACATTATGATTAAAGTATATGTGAGGTGGGTTTTGCGGCGATGTTCACCATCTTTTGTGTGTGTGTCTTGTTCTGGGAAAACGGAAGCAATGGCAGAAGCTGCTGGAGTATCGCACATGATGTTTATGTAAGTTAATAATAATGCGTTTAATGTAAATATTATGATTGAAGCTTCCAACTATTTTACACTGTGAAATTGAACATGCTAAACAAACATAATAGATGAATAATACCACTGTTTTGCCTGTTTGTCTGTCTGCAGTAGTAGTAGAAAACTGGTGTTCTGCTTGTGGCTCTGTGCACCACACACATAAATCAGCAATAAGGTACGAGAGGCAGAACTTCATTGTCAATGTTACACTTCAAGGGTGTTGTGAGGCCCGATGTGTAGTAAGTAAATAACTGCCTTTCAGCACAATAGTTCTAGCCACCAAACTTTGTATCGCATTTCATCAGTCTAGAGAAAAGAGTCCTTGTACGTGCGTTTCCTCTTTCGCTAACAGCTGCCGTAAATCAGTTGCTAAAGTTACCATTGATCCAAACTGGTCACTTGCGGCATTTCCGGCGATTGGTGGTGCGCCGTGACATGCCCACCGGGTTATTGAGTCAAGTGTAAATAAAGAAGTGAGCCAATGTAGAATAACCTATTATACAAATAATGCTGGGTGCAGTTTGATTTTTGGTAAACAAACTTCACATTAATACAAACCATGTCAGATGAACCCTCAAGCTTTTATGACTACGGCCTTTTGATTGTCCTGACCAAAAGTCTAAACTGATCGGATTAAGATCATAGAATGTGACGAAACAGCCATAATAATAATAATCCAGTATCTGCGGTAACTTTGAAGTTTGAAGGGAAAGGATGAATCGCTGTTTGGATTTATGTATGTAGCTATTCAGAAAAAAAGAAAAGCGCTATATAAATGTTAACTGGTTATAATGTTAGAATCATGGAGGGACATAGAACACGTCAATGCCCTGGCAATGGCAAATAGCTTAGGTTTTATATTTGATTACATTAATTATTAGTATTGTTTTTAAGTTAATTAAGTTCAAATTGAGATTCACAGGACTTTAAATGCTTCTTTGTAAAGTGAATGCAGCTGTTAAAAAGCACCTCATTTGTGTATTTGCATAAATATTGGTGTGCAATACACTACTTTTGAATTCAGCTTGAATTTTGCGCACAACAATGGGATTAATCACGAGACAGCGATTCATGCAATTAATCACGGCTAAAATGGTTGTGACTCAGCATAGTGTTTTTAAGTTGCCCGAGGAGGCTACAATTTACATATCATTGTGGAACCGTGTTGTTCCATAAAAGAGAAATGAACGCTGTGTCTTTGGATTGCTTACTACATGTAGTTCAACTCATCTGCGATGATGGTGGAAACCATGTAGTCAATCTGAAAGAGAAATGGAGACAACATGAGAGACGCACAGTTGTGCCCGTCCAGATGAATGTGGAAGTGATGCACAGACACTGAGCTCTACCTGTTTCATGTCCAGAGGACTGATGGCAGTTATGTTGCTGATGCGAGATTTACCAATGACCGTCTTGGCAAACTGCACATGAGCTGTGATGTTGGCCACCTCCACTGAGTAGTAGTTGTTGTTGGTGATGTTTAGGGTGTTCTGGAAGAGTTAATTAGCATTGACACGTTGTATACTTCCAGCAGTGGACAGATGCTTCCTTAATATAATACCACAAAAACACTTTACACAATATTTTATTTATTGTGGATGTGTATTTGGCGGTTAGGGGCCAGCAACACTATAAAAGGATTACACACACGCAAGCAAAATGCTCTTCCGCGATGAACAGGGGCTACTACTTTGTCTCCATTATAATCCCACCATCGGAAATGATGTTTGTGCAACCATCACCTCGCAGGCAGATACTAAGCTGCCGCTTCTTACAGTAATACTGTAATGCTCTTCTTTCAGGTACAAATAACAGCTTTATCTCTTATCCGTCTTCACCTGACCCACAGTCAGTCTTAGAATAGATCAGAAGATCCTTTTGTGTTCAAAGCGTTCCTTGGATTGGCTCAGGGATACAGAAATGCTCTATAGTGTGTGCTGTCTAGATCACCAGAGGGCTCTGACGGGGGCCTTTGTCCTCCCCCCGGGTGAGGCAGCATCTATGGTCCTCACCTCTGGAGCAGTCTGCCAGAAGAGCTGAGGGCATTACTGTCAGTATACCTTTGATAGAACTCTTAAGACACATGTACTTGCTGTACTTTTTCATTTTCCATGCTATTCTACAGTGTCACCATTGTTATATCAACATTGTATGTTTAACAATGTTGATATAACAATGGTACTGCAATTTTGCACAAAAGGCAATACGTAAATAGATAATGTTTAATAACTACTGTTGAAAAACGGTTCCCTGTTTGATTACGCATGTCAAACATTCTGACAACTAGAGCAGAATGAAATGAGGCAGAACAATGAAAAATATTACGTTGAAAATAAAAATCAGGAGGTAAACATCTGTGACAAATACACTAAGTCAATTCAAAGCACATGTGTACATGTTTTCAGATTTCTGTATGAATAGCGAATTCTTATCTGCATCTGTGTCCTTAGTCCAGATTTCTCCATAGTTTGAGCCGTTTTCCCTTTCAATAGGAAGTACTTGGGGGAAGCACAAATAATAGGGATATAATATTCCCTCAAATATTGGGAATCAGCAGTGACAAACTGTGTCACATGGTTGTCGTATTAATAAACATTAGGTTAATAGCACTGCCCTGTTGTGTCCTTACATAAGCCCTTGAATCCAATCAGAGTATTTCATGATCCTCGGCCTCACTGACAGGGCTCCAAGACAAACTGTTTCAGTTACCTACTAAACATTCCACCCCTAGAACCAAAACACTTTCACCCGCAAAAGGACAACAACATTATGAAGTTATTGTTTGTTTATATGCTGTTGGTCTTTACCACCATCACAAAGGAATTAAACTGGTGCTTTCTGGTAACTTAGAATTTGACTTCCGATGAAGCTCACCGTGATGTTGAGATAAACGCTGCGTTTGTCTTGGTCGTAGCTGACAAAAACCGACTTTACTCCGACGTAGGACACATCGATGGAGCGAGGGAAGAGGAAGAAGACAGCAAGGCTGCACAGCAGCAGGCAGACCACGACAGATGCTGACACATACAACTTCCTATGGAGGAAACAAGACATCTCAGGATTTATCAGGCTGCTCTACTGAGTCTCTAAAGCCTCTGCAGTAACTTGCGTTTGGGGTGAAGGGATGAAACAGGGGTACAGTAAAAAAAACATTTTGTTACTGCTATTACAAAACAGTTACTAGACACATTTCAGAGTGTGCTAAACTATCTATATACACATCTAAATCAACTATCCATAGACATGCAAATCTGAGAGCCCTTTGATCATGTCAGTGGCTCGGACATGCAGCGATACAAGTACTCACGTCCTCCTGGGTCGCAGCCTTTGGTCACTGTATGGAATCAATGCCACGAGTTGATTTTCTTGTCCTGAGACACAGGCAACAATCAATGAGTCGGTCTTTTTGAAAACTAATTCAGGTGCAACAGAAGCTTGTTTTACACTCATGTCCCAGGCTTACTTAAGGAGTATCACTGGATAGCTAACATTTAGATGACTGTGAACACAGCTGTGGTACCTCTGGGGATCCTCCCGGTGCCTTGACACGTTGGACACGTCACACTGTCCCTTCCTGTGAACTCCACATAAGGAAACTGGGAGACGTCCCCACCCTTCCCCTCGTCGGTCTGGGAGTCCTCCAGAGGAGAGGTGAGGCTCTCCTGGCCCTCATCTTGGCCTGTCTGCTTAAAGAGGTGGGAAAAGGACTTTCCCATAGTCACACCTGGAAAACGTGAGAAAGGTGTGTGATTCACACTCTGTCTGTCCACAGTCCATCCCTACCCGAGTTCACTGACTTGCACCTACTGGATGAATAAAAGCCAGGTTGAAGGAGCACAGGTAATAGGCAGGTAGAGCTGCTATGATTAGCCATTCATCAATTAGTTCCTTGACAGATAATTAATCCGCAACAACATGGTTTGGTTCCAGCGTCTGAAATGGGAATTTCCGAGGCCCGTATTACGTGACGTTATGTAGTTAGATTGCGTATAACGTGCGTCAGAAAGCACGTTATACGCACTTCTTTAGTTGTGTTTTTAACTACACTCTTGTTTTTATCCACAACTTGTTTTTGCCTTTTGCCTAAATATTTCCCACTAGCATTTTAGCGGTTTAAAGTATAGATATGGTGTTACATTGCTGACCGTTAACAAAGACGTCCGAACGCTCGGCCGCAATTTGACAACATGCCCGTATTTTGACAACATGCCCGTATTTTGATAGGACCGATCATGTGTTTCCGGTCGGTGTGGAAGTTGACATGAGTTGAAGTAAAGCACAGAAACGTTGCGGCTCTCCTGGTTCTTATTGTGTTTTCATATATAACACATAGTTTCCACTCTAACGTTAGCTAATGAGTGCAAACATCGGAATCCCTCGAGCCTACCGGCGGGCAACACCACGAAGACTAAAGTAACGCCTGTGAACTTTGTGTTTCAGCGAAGGCAGTTGACTTTAGTAAAATATTGGAAGGAGTGAAGCCAATGTGGATGTAACTAACAACATTAACTACACAATAAACCGAAGTGAACGTGTAAGCTGTAAAAATTACCCCGGATAACAGTTAGCGTCTTGCTAGCTGGCTTGTCGACGCTGACAGCTAACAGATTCCAAAATGAATCGTAGCCGAGGCCAATAATGGCGTCACCGTAGCTCACTCACCTATCCAACGTAAATTTAAAACACAAAATATCCATCGGAGGTTGAGAGAGAATTAACGCTAGCTACCTGAATGCGACCTGTGGCTGCTGGTTTAGCAGTTTGTTTATCCTCCTACAAACGGACATGCGCAAGTGTGATGTGTTCAAAATTGTGGGAAAAGCCAGTTTCAAACTCAGTTTTTTTCTTTAGAAGATCAAAACAAGTACAAAACAAAAAAGTAAAACATGTGTAAGTAGACACACATACATATACACACATACATCAGTGGTGGCTGGTGGAAAATGCATTTGAAAATGTGAATCATAACCAACATTGAAATTGATATAGTTGGAGGATAAAAGCTTGGTTATCTTTGGTTTCCTTCCAAAATATACATATATTTATTACAGAAAGGTTGTGTCTTAATATATTAAAAGTCTGAGGGGTTGTTGGGGTGAACTTTCTTATTCTGTCACAAGCTTGGCCTGGTACTGCATGCATGCATGTAATTATGTCACATTATATTATTATATTGTATCTTTCTCTGGATCCGACTGATTAAAAGAATAAACAAGCTTAAAATAGAACAAAAATTTCAGTGCAGATTGTTAAATAGATAGTAAATTGCAGAAATTGTTTATAATATCAATGATTGCATCCACAAAGACAAAATTGATCATCAGTGTGCGTACACTTTGTATACTAAACTCAGAACAATGCACGCCCTGATTGCGTGTGCCATTGTTTCATGGACCATGGATCATGCATCATGCTTCCAGCCCGGATAAAGCTGCTACTCTCACATATAGAATGTTTTTCACTTTTCCCAATGACTGCGTGAACATGTAAGTGATGAAAGCGCCCATTCATGACCTCATGATAAATGTACACATATTTAAGATTGTCCTGATTGACACAAGTCTTTGTGATGGTCTCTATGGATCATAGCTAACCTCTTCACCCCCTCAACAGAACATGTCCCGCTTGCCAGTCAGTGCAAGCAAGAGGGTCCTTCTGACGAGCAGCAGCAGCTCAGACAATGGACAAGACTTTGCTCCCGCTCAGGTTCGTACTGAGTCCCTCGGAATCTTTTTATTGTGTTGCTGCTCCTCCAGCTGCTCTGGCCAGTAACGTTACCCAGTACACAGCTCATAGCGTTCAGCAGCTAGAAGTTGGCCTCTGCCACGACCTAAACAGTAACATGGAGTTCCTCTCTGCCACGAAGTCACTTGTGATGTCCTTGAATGTTATGTGAAAGTTCTTGTTTGTGGTCGAGTTGTGGATTAAAATCCAGCAGTACTCAACACACTGGTAACGGTTATGCACGATGGCTAGAATTATTATTGTTTTAGCCCAAACATTTAAGTCATTGCTGTTGCCTTATGTTGGCGGTGTTTCTTGTATTTGCAGGAAGAAGATCCGCAAGGACCCCGAGCCTGTCAAACAACATGCAGCAGCTACGGTCATCAGCGGCAGGCGGCCTCCGGTTGCAGCAACCAGGGCTCCGATTTGTGAGTCAGCTGACTTTTACAGTCTTTGGTTTTCTGTAATGTTTGAATGCACCAAGACTGTATGAGATAATCAAGGTTAGGTAGATCAAGGCTGCTTTCTCTGTTTGTCTATGTCTGTTTTGTGTTTGGTATCGTTCCTGAACAAAACCTGTTCCGGTTGCTGGGCAACAAGTACAAGGCGGGAAGTCCAGGATCGCCGATGCCCGCTCCCACCTGTTCCAAATCAGCAATCACCACATCTGGTCCTGATCATCGTCTACAACACTACTTAAGCCGAGACCTGACATCCATGCTACCGGATTGTTATCCATAATCTATATGTTGTGCTAGTTATTCAAGAATAATAGTGTCCTGCCTGCGTCCACTGGTTTCCATGTTCTGTTATTTGACAACAGCAATGTGATATCCATTATCAATCAAATGCATTGATAACTGTGTCCCAAAACCCTCACACTGGCAAAGGAAAAAACCCAGAGGAGAGTGGTGAACACACTGCAATGAATGTCATCTGGACAGAATGAACATCATAAAAGATGTACAGTATGTTAAATGCATATCATATAAATGATTAAAATGAAAGTAGTAAGCCACATAATAATTTAAGATCTATTCTAATAATAACAGCTGGACGTAGTAGAATAACAGAAACAAAGACTAAGAAACATAGTCAGTAATGTGGGTCTAAGATGACAGAAATACCAGTGTGACTTGTGATAATAATGATTGCAGCACCAGGTGTCAGCAGGAGGCCGGACCAGGGTTAATTAATGTGAATTCTTATAGAAGGAGAAAGAGGGAGGAGCTCAGTGTGTCCTAAGAAATCCTCCGGCAGTCTCGCCCTCTTGCAACTTATCCGAGGGCTAGATCAGGCAGACACCCATTTACGCCTGGTTCCTCCATATTAGGTACTGGCATTCTATCAGCGTGCAAAACACCATCCTCATCATCAACTGTTTGGAGGAGCTTCCACAATTGCCACAACAAAACTTTCACTAACAGGTACCCTATGCTGCTGCTGCAATGTGTGTGATTCACTAACATTTACACAGCAACTAAACAAAATGGGACATCTCTCAGAATTCATAGCAACTTGTAAATCGGCTTAATTAATGAAATTGCACTTTCTTGTTTCTTGTTCTTCTGAGTTTGTGTCCTTATGGTTGAAATGCACTTATTGTAAGTCGCTTTAGATAAAAGCGTCAGCTAAATTACATGTAATGTAATGTAATGTGACGCGAGACAATCCTTTAACATTGGCTCTTTGTTTCAAACAGGACATTTGAAATGTCAGTGTCCTGCATCTCCTTAGGGAATGCTTTATGGTTGAGGGGGGTTGCAGTAGATGACAGACTATGCTCAGGAAACCATTCGGCAGGGAGTGGTTCCTGAACCCTTCACCATATCCTGTCCTGCACTCCGACGACTGTACTGTCTAAAGACTTCACAGCTCACACTGACGGGGAAACAGAATACCAGTTCACACAGTGATCAATCAGGGGGTAAACACACAACACACAACACACATCTGTCATTCTGAGTACACACTCTGCAGAGGGATGGTTGAAAGCAAAGTCGTTCCTCAGCTGTAAAAAAGCGAGAGTTCACACATTGGAAATACAAAACCAGGAATGTATGTTATCGGCACACCCTGCAAATCCTGTTGATATCTTGATATATTTTAATCAAATACATTATGGCTTAATTGTATTTGAATGTCAGGAGCCCTTGCTCCACATTCCTTTTGTTTAATGCGCCACATGCTCTAGTTTACATTGTATAATAGCTTCAATGTTGTATTGCAAAACATACTGGCAGGCCCTGGGACAGGGGGAATCCACTTGTTGTGGGTTTCTTAAAGCTGATGCCACAACTCAAACAGTCCCGGTGTAATGAGCTTCTTTTTGGTAGATTCCTTTTAGTTTTGCTGTTTTCAGTCATTTGTAGTGCTAAAATGTTTGTTTTTATCCCCACTTCAATTTGCTATCTTCTATACCAGCTCAATTGTTAATATTGCACATCTTACAGTACGATTTACCTGTGTATACAGTGTATGGTTTTTGTGCTTACACACACACAATACAAGCCTGTACGTATGCAGGATCAGTGACATAAAACCGAATCAAAGTGGTTAGTATTTGGACAATTAGCCGTGGTATCTTTTTAGTGGTCTGAAAAATTTGGAGAGCCCTTAGAGAACCGATGCTCTGAGCTATATAAACACAGATTATCGAGCATCTCCAACAGGACAGTTTCCCGGAGCACTTGTCAAAGATGTTCTCAGCTGGTCCTGTTGATCTCACACTAATCCATTGTTTATTTACTGCGCAGCATTTGAGTCCAGGCCAACCAGCCAGGTTAATATGAAGTCTTCTCTGGCACTGTAGCATATTTATCATCCCCCCACCCAATGGCCATGGGAAGAGGGAGAGGCTTAACCTGGCATGGCACCCAGCCCTGCGTGATCTTTTGCAGGGCATTGAACCAACTGTGTTGATTCAGTCAATAAGAATTTCTACTTTTGCACCCATTATTTCAGTGTTACTAATCCAGCCTGGAAGTATAATAAGGAAAATATATGAATACCTCAATAATAAAGGTTTCTTACACACTACACTGTGAATGTTATGCATAGCTTCAACGGACTCATTACAAAAAGATATACATAGATAAGGGAACATGACTAAGTAGGTAAAGGCAAATAATAGATCAGCTAAAAATGTCTAATGTCAAGTGATCAAGATCCCAAAGTGGAAGACGTTATGTATGGAGTCTCACATCACAACTGTGATGTTAATACATTGATATATAGGTAGTAAAAATCATTTGGATACTTTTTTATTTATATAATCTTCATATATCATATATTTTGAAGCTGTCTATTTTCTCATAAAGCAACGGTTTGTGTGTTTAGACTTGAGTATGGACATTTTTATATGGCATTTTTTTAAATGAACATGTTTTCATATTTCTCCCCCATTCAAGTTGTCAATGCTGTTAAAAAGTGTGTATATGTACACAAACACACACACACGCAAACGTCGTCTTGAGGTTTATTATCTCTATTATTTTTATTTTATTTTAATCTACAGATGTTCTGTTCTGTTTGGAGGAATGAATTATTGCCCAACATTTAATTAGGAAATCAGAACATGATGTCCCATCCTGACCAATCATTAGTGGAATATCTATGTCATCTGACCCATTTAACACCACCTTATTTGTTAGTTTAATGGGAGGTTTTGGACCATGTGTCCCACTTGCCGCTTGCTTCACTGAATAGACCCACGACAATCATTTGAATGTTCTAATAACTTGGCTCACTGGGTTGGGGGCATCAATACAAATCTCTTTACATATTCTTCTGTACCATACAGAAAGAATACAGTTCATAGTGTATGATTTGCTTCAACATTCCCTCATCTTTACCCTGCTAGCTGCTATATTGGTACACAGGGAACCGGAAGAGGTCCAGGAAAGTAGTCAAAACTCTGGTGTATCACTGTTCATTGTAGCTTAGCCTCCGACATACAAAAAGATCGCCTGATGCATTTAAAACCCTATTTAAATCTTGTTAACCAGCTAACTCCACACCAGGCCATTAAGAGATCTTTGTCCTAGAAAAATCTGTTACCAAATCTAATCAAGTTAGCTTCCCATGTGGGCCAGTGAAGTAACGGTAGCTTCCAAAGAACTGTTTCTGCAGTTTGAAGTTTGAATGTCTGGTCAAACGTCATCTTGTTTGCACAAAAAGTAGTTTCCATTTAGATAGTTAATATTTGAACATATTGGTGTCTTTTGTCGACTGAACAAGGTTCAACACCATGATTGTACTCCTTCAGGTAAGGTATTAAAAAAGGATCATTTAGATTGCAGTATTTAAAATGATTCCTAGCTGTGCTAGCAAGCGACCGTACTTAAACCAACCCTAATCAGCTATCTCCACACTAATTAAGCTTCACGGCAATCAGCATCTGAGATATAGTAACTTAGTTGATGTATCAGATAAAATGTTTATTATGAAGTGATTATCATCTATGTTTCCCCAAGTTACCTCAATCATATCTTTTTTTTAGATAGTTTTTATTACTCAAGAACTGAGAAATAACACAGACAAATCTGCAATTGGCTAATATCAGTAAATATATAAATGACCAATAATTTAAGATTTTTATATAGAAATGAATGACTGATACTTTTCATTATACCGGTACATTGGAGCAGAGGTTGTGCATTATTTACTGCAAACGGCAAATCTGGTGCAGAGGAACAATCTACATCCTGTTCTTAGTGAAGTTTACTCTTTATGTAAACGCTTTGACCACACTGTGCAACGTTGATACAAAGCAATTGTCCCTCTACTAACATTTGAAGCGTTGGTTCCAAGGGGAGGGACACATGAACATAAACAGAGAAATCTAAGCTTATTCATAGCTTTCTGTGGGGCAGCATAATACTGGAATTTCTTGGTGATTGACTGTTGCTGACGAGATCGTTGGCATCCAAAGTCCACAGACCGAAATCAATACCACTGTCCTCTGGCTGAGTTTGACCCATGCAGTGTAACTGTTTCTTCAGGTTGGCTGCTGTAAGGCTCCCACAATCAGACTAGAAACCTGATCACCAAACTGCACGCAGCTTACAGTAGATCTGTAAACTACAGATTCAGCTCCTATTTTATAATTCCCTTCATTCGCACATCATCTCTTCTTCTTCTGTTGCCGCAGCATCTTTCTCCTCTTCATGATCATGGCATACAGCTTCTCCAGACCTTCCTGCAGACCCTCACCAATGATAGCACAAGTAGGCAGAAGGTACCAGTCTGTAGCGCGGCTGAGCTCACCTAGAGCTAACATGCTCTCCATCTCAGCCATGCTGAGTGAGTTCCTCAGGTCCTGTTTGTTAGCCACCACCAGAACTGGCACTCCCTGGTTAGCGGTCAACCGTGTGATCTTGTGCAGCTCTGTCTTGGCCTCCTCGACGCGCTCAGCGTCCACAGAGTCTACTACAAACACGATGCCATCAGCACATCTTGTGTAAGAGCGCCACAAGGGACGCAGCTTCTCCTGACCGCCTACATCCCAGAAGTGGAAGGATGCTGTCCGCCGGCAGACTCCAAGGGACATCTTGATTCTTTCTGTGTTAAAACCCTTAGTTGGAACGGTGTTTACAAACTCATTGAACCGGAGGCGGTACAGGACAGTGGTCTTGCCTGCACAGTCCAGTCCTAGAATGACAATGTGGAGCGCCTGAAAGGACGGCAGGCATGGGAAGAAGGAGTGATCCGATTGTCCGTTCCCCATCTTGGCGAAGCAGGAAATGTTTCATAGGCTGTTTTTATAGTCCAAAGGGGGTTCAGTAGGAGCCTGGGGGGGAACACAGCGTACATAATAAGTCAAAGCTGTGAAAGCACACAAACACCCAGCACCCCATAGTTTGATGAAAGATCAAACAACAAACGTGAATACAGCCCCTGTCTCAATGGAGACCCTCACAGTCTCCATGAGAACTCCAGCAGCAGGAGGGAGAGCACGCGATTGACACATGTAGCGCCAGGCAGGCAGCGAGGTTTTCACAGGCTAATTTGGTTTCAGTATTGAGGACTGTGTCAATCAATAAACAACGGAATGAACCCGCAGCCTCTGGAGCGAACCCGTTCTCGGGTGCAGGATCTCCAGGATCTCCGGGCACTCCAGGATCTCATGGCAACAAGTGTTGGAGTTGCATGGGGCCCGGTGGCTGACAGCCCGCTCATTGACATGTAACGCTAATGAAACGTACCTTAACGTTACCGAGGACCGGAGGACCGGAGGACCGGAGGACCGGAGGACAGTACTGGGGGGAGATCGTCTGTTTTGAGCTGAACGTCGCGAGCCCGTAATCAAGCCGAGCTCTACACAACTGGAAGCATCACGAGAGGAAACTTGGGTAGTCATCCGATGCTAGCGGTGGTCCATGAGGAGCACAGAGCGCTCACCGCTTGTGATCCACTGAGAGAGGAGTCCTCTCCTTCAGGAGCGCAGAGCCGCGCGGCAGCAAACGACCCCTCTTCCGCCACGCCTTTTCAAAATAAAGCCCTCATGAGCTACTAAGCAAATCATTTTATAATGTCTTCCTTTGGATAAAATAATCCGTTAGCAAAGCTCAAAACAACCAGACAGCGTGTACGTTTACAACACTTGATAGTATGACCGATTTAGCTCAAGCCATCAAGAGAGCTCCTTAATTTATGGAAAAACTTGATTTAATTTACTTCTATGGTGTCAGATATTCTATATAAAAACTATTTGTGTTCTTTCCAGGTTGTAATGATATAATTTGCACATACAACTCACATGTTTCCATCCCTCAAACAGCTTTTTTGCAGCTCGCACAAAAGAATCGAAATGAGTTGCGCGGTTTGTATAGTGTATAATGCCTGGAAATGGCAAGAAATGCCCTAAATCAGCTTATTCAATATCAAATTGAGATATTATTGGGTTTGTACCTCCAAAGGCTTTTTATACGTCTCTGCATGTTACATTGAGGAGAAAGGGACCACAAAGGCGGATTTGTTAACATGCTACACTACACATAACAAACTGCCAATTTCATACCTCTTCCTGCCCACTAAGGACTAATTTTGTGGACCTTATATCGGTACGGGACCCCCCCCCCCAAAAAAATGATTTGATTAGGATGGAAAGGAAGAAACCTTAGTGAGAACGGCAGAGGAGGGATCCCTCTCCTGGAATGGACAGACTACAACGGATGTCATGTGCACAGAATGAACAAGGTCAAATATGTCTTTGTAACTCACTTTTCCAACCTGTTGGAGAACTACGGTCGGCTGTAGATCTTCAATCATCCATGGGAGCCGCCCAGGCAGCAGCCCTTCTGTGTGAAGTAGAAAGAGTTATTCACATTGTCCAAAACATGTTATTTAGGTCTGCTTACGTGTGTCTGTTCTGCTGTTCTGCCACCACTAGGTTGAGCCCTGACCGCCCAATGACACCGGGGACACCCCACACAACAAGCAACAGGGCATCACTTACAGCTAACAGATGGATGGAATTGAAAGAAATTGTTGCAAAAACACGTGATGCTTACCTGTGGTGCAATGTATCATGAAACCCACGGGCTGAATCATGGATCAAAGCAGCACAAAATAAAAAAGGGAGCCAATATATCTTTTGGATCATTGATGTTTTTTTTGCACCCATTGTTAATATTGCCAGATACAGATCCCTTTGTTGTTATATATAGTTCCATACCAAAGCTAAAAGATAATAATGTCTGATGATGAATCATCTTGAGTACATGAAAATGTCTAGATTCATTGCTGGTCTGGCCAATGGCCAGCAGAGCCCCACAACCACTGATTACAGAGATCATGGCAGATTCAAACAGGCAAATGGGAAGCAGCAGTTGATACGGGCCATTCATCAGGTGCTCCTCTGGAATCACAGCCTCTTAGAAGTGACAGACAACATAAAAAAACAGACAACCCCTAGTGGCTTTACAGAAGAAAATTCACTTGATTGAAACAGGGAAATCTGACACCACCGCGAGTAAAGATTTCACCTCCTATGTAAATGTTACATTACATGTCATTTAGCTGACGCTTTTATCCAAAGCAACTTACAATAAGTGCATTCAACCATAAGGATACAAACTCAGAAGAGCAAGAAACAAGAAAGTGCAATGTAATCAAATAAGCCAATTTACAACATGCTATAATGATAAGTGTCATTATAAGTACAATTTAAGTGCTACAGTTAGTGTTTTAGTGGAGGTAGAGTCTGAAGAGGTGTGTCTTTAGTCTGAAGATATGAAGGCTCTCTGTGGTCCTGGTGTCTTCAGAGACCTCCTTCCACCATTTAGGAGCAGGACAGCAAAGAGTGGAGATCTAGTCGAGTGTTTTGCTCCCAGTGAGGAGGAACAAGCAGTTTATCACATGCAGAGCGGAGAGTGCGGGTCGGGATGTCTGGTTGGACCAGGTCCTGGATGTAAGCTGGACCCCATCCATTCACAGCATGGTACGTGAGCACCAGTGTTTAGAACTGGATGCGGGCAGCCGCCGGAAGGATTGTGTTGTCGCAGTGATGTTGGGAGTCAGGGAGAGTTGACTGTCAAGTGTCACGCCGAGGTTCCTGGCAGACAAAGTTAACACGGAGTTGCCAAAGTTAACTGTCAAGTCATAGGTAGGAGAATCTTTTCCTGATTAACCCTGTAATCAATGCTGGCCTCCCAGGCAGTTACAGCGGCTACTTTGGCCCCCAGCAATCGGAGCTGGACAGTGTTGCCGTTGCGCACACGGTCTATTCCTGAAAGTGGCTGTACTGTGGCCCGCATCATCAACCCCACACGCTCCGGTACTGCAGTCAGGTGTGCAGTTAGGACAGTTTGACTTGGATCTTGTCTAAGACATGTGTCAGACACTGATGTTAGTGAGGATTCAGCCCCTGTGTGTAATGTGTCCACCTGCCCAGTGTAACCATCCAGCCATGTCAAATGTGGAAATCTGACAAAAACAGAGACAGAAACATAACATTCTCAGACAAGATGAACCCCCAGTTTGAAAGCGTGCATATAGTTCATCTCCAAAAATGCACTTTACCAGTTTTATTTGATGCCCATGGGTTTGGCAAATGCACCCCCCACTTTCCAACATCTAATGTAGTTGGTGTTACAAGGTCTTTCATGGAAGACATGCCTTGCATACCTTGATGACATTATTGTGTATAGCCCCAGTTTTTCTGTCCATCCAGCATTTGAGAGAGGTGTTTGATCGCCTCAGAGCCGCTACCCTCAAACTCAAACCTTCGAAGTGCAGTTTTGTAGTACAGGAAGTGACATTTTTGGGGCATGTCATTTCACGTGAAGGACTAAAGCCTGACCCCATGAACATTGAAAAAGTGAGGGACTGGTCTTCCCACCAAAAACATACTGAAGTCTGAGCATTCCTTGGTCTTTGTTCGTACTACCGGCGTTTGCAAAAATGTCTGCGCCACTGCATGCTCTCACTCAAAAAGGAAACACTTTTCTGTAGACTAACACAGTGCTTTTGAAAGTCTCTGTCATACTCTGTGTGTATCACTTATCATCTCCTATCCAGATTTCTCACAGGATTTTCTGACTTTTCACAGATGCATCCGGCACAGCCGTTGGATGGGTTCTGTCTCAAGTGAATGAGGAAAATATGGAGAATGTCATTGCTTGTGACAGTCTCGTTTTGACAAAGACAGAGAGACGTTGGTTTACATATGACAGGGAACTGTGGGCTATTGTATGATCCATCTGGCACTTTCAACAGTATTTGACGGGCAAGCCTTTTCGCATCATCACAGACCTCTTCTCTCTTTGAGGAAGATTCCGCTGGATTCTGATCCGACTGGTCACAGGGAAAGGTGGGCTTTGGAAATTGATCCCTATGATTGATGATGAAAAGTATTCACATTCATTAATAAATAAGTAGAAGTATAGATACTAGGGTTTTAAAATACTTTTGTAGAAGTTGTCAAGTTTCAACTCAAGCATTTTACTTAAGTAAAAGTAGAAAAGTACTGGTTTCAAACGCTGAAACGCTACATGCTACATAACTTAAACAGACGAAACCAGGACCCAATTTCCAGTGACGGCTGAATGACATGAGTCGGAGGACGTACACACGTTGTTCCCATTGATTAGGTAAACTGCAGTGTCTCCCCCAGGTTTACTACTTCATGGGGTGGCGCAGAATCCCTTTGTGATCATTTCTAAAGCCTCACATTAAGACATACATCACTTTATTTAAGACGCTGTGCTACTAGGATTACATCAGCCACCATGATGTCCCTCAGAGTTTGCATAGTGACCAGGGCCGTCAGTTTGACTTGGATCTTGTCTAAGACATGTGCTCTCGCCTGGGAATTCACAAAACGTGGACATCCCCTTATCATGCAATGTCGGATGGCATGGTTGAATGGGCCAATAGGACCATCAAGGACCAGTTGGCAAAATACCTATACACCATAGGAGGTGAATGGAATGACCACCTGAGGAAAACCCAGAACGTGTTAGACTGAATAATTTCATGAGCATACACCCACGCGACCCTGTTTGCAGGATAAGCGATTTGAAGATGGATGGATGGATACTGACTGACTGCTACGCTATTGAAAATATCCATAAAACACTCAACACTTAATAATATCCGCTTTAAGTGGGTTTTCACACAAAACCAAATGATATATATGTATAATATATATGAAAAACTGCACCTTTGTAAATCACTTTTAAAATGACAAACCACAGAAGTGTAATTCTTACATTTTAAATTTGTCCAAACAATACATTTCTTACTCACAGTGTCAAAGACGATGATGGTGCACTTCTACATGGCCATCATGGAGTCCATCCTCTGCTCCTCCATCACCATCTGGAACGCTGCAGCCACAACCAAGGACAAGGGCAGGCTGCAGCGTGTCATCCGCTCTGCGAAGAGGGTGATCGGCTGCAATCTGCCGTCTCTCCAGGACTTGTTCGCTCCCAGGACCCTAAAGCGAGCTAAAAATATTTACCCGTAGCCGACCCTGCTCACTCCGGACAAAAACTGGAGGACCTCAGGCCACACAAACTGTTTCTTCCTGTCAGCAGTGGGGCTCATTAACAGAACCCGGGTCCCCCACTGACTGACTCTGACATCCCTTTTTCTAACGGTCAATCCCCTGCACATCCCTCCACACTCCATATATACATACACTTGATCACTTTCACATACACTCACAGTACAGTTGTGTAGAGTACAGTACAGTCTGTTCGCTTGTGCACTTTATTTTTAACTTTTATTTTAAATTTAAATTCCTTCTTATCCTTTATTTTTTTTGTTTATTGTATATCCCCCCATAGTCTTCTATTTTATTTTATACCGTAGAGTTTAACTGTAATTTTGTAAATTGAACATGCCATTTTCTTGCACTATCTGTCTTGTTGTCCATTGTCTTGCACCAACCACCATGTCAAATTCCTTGTATGTGTAACGTATTTTGGCAATAAATTTTGCTGATTCCGGATTAGAAATAGGGAAACAGACTGTTGCCCATAACTCTACTTGTACCAAATGTCCCCACAGGTGGCACTAGGATGATTGACAGGCCTAACGTAAGCCCTTCACGGACCTCCTAACCTCTGTAAATATGATAATCAAATTGTTGTGGTTAACCATCATTTACATAGCATATCAGTCTGTTACAATATGGTCACATCAGAAAGGTTTTCCCTGTTTATTAGTAATTATACGAAGCCGTAAGTCTCTTCCTTGTTAATCTCCGTCTCTTTGTGTTTTAGATTTCATGGGTGATTATTTAAAAGTACTTTTGAGCAGTGTTTTGAAAGATCTATGTCTATATATCAAGTGTATTATTAATATTAATATTTCATAATATTTTAAGATGCTAAGAGTTTTTTGTTGTTGTATATCTTTCAATAGGACAAAGCACAAAAATAAGAATTCTTTCAAATTAATATTGATGTCAGGCTGTGACACATCCTCCGCTAGGATAGTTATATATAGGATAGTTATATTTCCAACTACAGTGAAGGCCGCATTACGACGCGATGCGTGCGACGCGTTCTGCCGGGCAAGGACACCTAGTGCTGGAATGACATTTGTGTAAGTGGGCTCACGTTAAATGCTCAACTGTTAGCTTGTTTCTCACCTTAAACTGCCCAGAAATACAGTACTACCCCTCTCCGGGAGAACTATTGCATCTAGACGGACTCCGGCGGGCTTTTGGATCGATAAGGTATCATTACAGGGACGTTTACAAAACTGGTGTTTAGCTTCCTGCTAGCTAGTTAGCATACTAAGCTAGCAACGACCATTGGCAGTCAAGTTAAGCGCTAACGTTAGCTAACAACGCTGAAGCTAATGTCAACTCTAAGGAGGATATATTAGTCCCATGTCCTTGCTATCTGCTAAGAAAGACGTGTTTCACACATGTTACTGAATTGTAATCAATAGCTATTTTAAATGCAGCTGTTTTCAACTGTAACGTACATAAATGTAGATTAGCATTTCAAAAATTGATCAATGTAATCTGATGAATTGTATATTATTCACACTGTTAATAGAAGTGTTTCCTTGACTAAACCGAACCAGGAATATTTCCAAATGCCATCGGTTGCATGTCACACATGTTAGTGCTGCTAACTTGTTGTATTATTTAAAGTATTGCTTACTATGAGGGTACTTTGGATGAGTTGTTTATTTTGGAAAATGTCCACCGCACGAGGGGCCCGTTACAATTGACCAGTTACATCTGCATGAGTGACTTGGTATCAACCCAACGACTACTGCTTTTCCCTTGTGCACATTACAGGACACAACTTGCTGGAACGCTCGATCAGCGGCATGTTCATGGCTGCTTAATTCAGTCCAGGCTGTCTCTATGGAGTCTGATTATAAACGTGTGGTATGCTGCAGGTCATGTGCTCCTGACATTGTCTGAAAACCTTAGGACAAGACCCAGGTCAAAGTCCGACAAGAAGACGTTTAGGACACGCACGCGTGTGTGTGTGTGTGCGTGTGTGTGTGTGTATACATACATACATACACACACACACTTTACTAGGCGATAATTGACGCGTGGAGTGCGTTGGGAACTGGAAGGATGCCGGTTCTAACCCTGTCTGCTTCATGTTGGAGTGTCCCTTAGCAAGACACCCATCCCCTAACTGCTCACGGGCAGCCCTCACAGCTGCACACGACTCCCACTGTGTGGGATGGGTTAAAATGTAAAACCATGGGTTAAAAATGCTATGTAAGTCGCTTTGGATAAAACTGTCAGCTAAATCACATTTAATGTAATCAGGTACACGTTGGTGGTAAAAGGTTGGACTCCGTTTTGCTTACTTTCAACAAGCGTCTGGAAACATTCCTCAGAGAAGGTCCATATTGACATGATAGCATCACGCAGTTGCTGCAGATTTGTCGGCTGCACATCTATGATGTGAATCTCCCATTTCACCACATCCCAAAGTTGCTCTATTGGATCGAGATGTGGTGACTGTGGAGGCCTTTGGAGTACAGTGAACTCATTGTCATGTTCAAGAAACCAGCTTGAGATGAAAAGAGCTTTGTGACATGTTGCATACCCCTGCTGGAAGTAGCCATCAGAAGATGTACACTGTAGTCATAACGGGATGGACGTGGTCAGCAACATACTCTGGTAGGCTGCAGCATTTTACCCACGCTATATTGGTACTAAGGGGCCCACTGTGTGCCAAGAAAATACCATTACACCTCCAGCAGCAGTCTGAACACTTGATACAAGGCAGGGTGGATCCATGCTTTCATGTTCTTTTCTCCAAATTTCGAGCACACCCGAATGTTGCAGCTGAAATCAAGACTCATCAGACCAGGCAACGTTCTTCTGACAGGAGTGGCCTCTGCTGCTTTAGCCCAGCTTCAAGGTTGTTTAAATCCCAGTAGTTCAGCAGTTTGTGACGTACTCAGACCAGCCCGCCCAGGACCAACAACCATCCACGTTCAAAGTCCCTTAAATCCCTTTTCTTCCCCATTCTGATGCTCTGTTGGATCTTCAGCAAGTTGTCTGGCCTTATCTGCATTGAGGTGCGGCCATGTGAGTGGCTCATTAGCAATTTGTGTTAACAAGCAATTGAACAGCTGTACCTAAAAATAAAGAGTGTGTGTGTGTGTGTAAGTAAATATATATATATATATATATATATATATATATATACACACACACATCAATCACATTTTTGATAATAATAACTGATATCATATGAAAGGGATCATAATTATTATTCCAGGGTATACATTTATATCAATAAGCCCAGGCATTTGGTTGTTGGTAAACATTTTCAGAGCATTAAAACTTGATTTGCTTTCGAACAGAACCCCTCTATGTGACCCCTGTTCGGCGTGTTGGGGAGGACACTCTGAAGACTCTTCCCCTCTTTTACTCTCCTCTCAGGTTTGCAGAGGGGAAGGCACTTTGTGTCTGCGGTATCCTCAGTGCGGTGAGGGATGGTCAGCTGGTAACTGGGGTTGCCTGTGGTGAATGGCTGTGAGCAGGGGGGGCGTCGCCTTCTGGGTGGGTTGTATCCGCAGCCATGGCCGAAGGCAAGCCATCGGAAAACAGATCTGGAGTCTCAGTCAGGTAATCTGCTTCCTCCTATACCCTTTCTGTACTTGCATACACAATGCGGAAGGCATATGTGCCACTGGGTTTTAGTTGGGACTTTGTTATCCAACTTTCTTGCCTGGAAATCTTTGCTTTTTGTAAAACACTTCCTTTCATTTCTAGCAGAAGGCGTTTGGGATTATTCCCCAGATTAATGACTAATTTTTATAGTGCCACTAGTATACTGTGAATTTACCATTTTCTCACTTACTACTCTGTCTACTTTACTAATACTATAATATTTACACTGTTTTCAGAGTTTACAATGCTACAGATGTTTTGTCCTAATTCTATTGTAAAAGATAATTACAAATTCATTCATTTTGTGGTCCCTTATATTCACAAACTTGGCGACGAAATGAGATTCTGATTGAACGTAATAAAAGGTATCGGCACACTATGTGAGCAAGAGTTGTTCTATTTAATGCAATGTCACCGTGTCCTTGTTGCTCCTCAGACAGCCGAATGGCAGTGGACCCGTCAGACCTGTCCCCTGAGCAGTGCATCATGGGCCCTTGTGCCCCCCAACAGCCTGAGATACCAGAGCATGAAGCAGTCGGTTCTGTCCCATCCGTTCCACCATGCCAGCCAGCCTCAGACAGGAGGTCACTACGAGGAAGACTGTGAGTCGCTCAGCCTGTGTGTGCTGGTGCGACAGGGCGAGTTCCACGGCCTGCACACGCTGCTGGAGGTCCCTCTGCTGGGTCCCCATAAACCTGGGCCTCCCCCGGCCTCAGAGTTCTCCTTCCTGTTGACCACGGTGGATGGCAGCAGACAAGATGACATCACTATTGACAGCTTCAAGAGAGAACATGGCTGTTTCAGAAGCCTGTTTGAAGCGGAGAGGTGTCCGGCACCGTTTATGTATGGCTCCCAGTTTTATTGTTTCCATTGCCCGGCCCCACAGCCGGTACCTGGCAGCGGGCTGCAATCCCTCCACAATATTGAACTTTACAAGACGCCTGTGGAGCTGCCTCGGGTGCCGTCCACCTCTCTGTGTAGCCATGCAGAAAGGGCTGTGGGGGGCCATTCTCTGGGAGATAGTGAGGAAGAGCAGAAACTGGCCATGATGTATGAAAGACTCAGGATGGAGGTAAGTCAAGGTTACTTCTATACCCAAACATCCTGTACTATGGAGTCACTGAAGCACACATGAGACAGCCATACTATACAAAGATAATGTAACACCGGTCCCCATTTAAAGGATCGCTGTTAATATAAAAGTCATTGAGCACGCTGCAACTTTCACAGTGTTTGTTCTATGATCATCATCGTTTTTGCTCCATACACACAGAGTACTTTGTGGAATGTGATGTGAGCTACAGCTGGACTTAACGTTTCTCCACATGCAGACTGAAGGTCTGAACAGAGCCCAGTGGGGATAGACGAGCTGATGTTAAAAAGAGCCACTTTTACTATTTTTCACAAAAATAGTAACAGCGTTGTGATGCTGCCCTGAGAACGAGCATCAGTGTGTTGTGAAAAGTCCCTCAGGTTGATTTCAGCAGTCAACACGTACTTTAGTCAATGTGAAACATTGACAGAATAATGCTGAACACGTTATATACAAATCTTATTTAATCAAGCATTTTACACCCATTAGCTGCATCATAACTCAGGATAGAAATACATGTAATGTTATTAAAACGGCGTCGTTGGAATAAATATATTTAGTATATATTTAGTATTAAGTATTTGTTGTCCGCAGCTGCTTCATACTGAATAAAAAGCTTCCACCCGCAAAGCAAACGGTCGCGCCGCTGCTGCGCTATTGAGGTTTTTTTTACATTCAGTATATATATTCGAATTTAGAATATTTGTTGACAGCCCTACTCGACGCGTTTGTCTTCTCAGCTGTGGCGATGCAGTTTGAGTCCAAGGATAACAATCTAATGAATGAGTAGCTTACTTTGGCTATAAAAGCCAAAGTAAGCTACTCATTCTTTGCTGGTTGCTGTGTATTCTCCAGCTTTGGGATCGCTATAGACACTAGTTGTGGTAACTTTGTGTAAAACTACCTCAATGTTGTTTTGCAGCTTCCAAATGTCTTAATGAAGAACCATGACTACACCATGTACTCCAACGATGTGGAATTCATCAACGGGCTCATCAATACTAAGACCAGGTACTGCTGCTCCTTGAGTTGTAAGCTTGTGATGCCTTATTGCAGACACTAATGTAATGCTGTGTGTGTGCGTGTGTGCGCGTGCAAACTGACCCTGCTGTGTGTGTTTTGGTCAGAGGCCGGGCGGTGTACCAGCTCACCTTGTCCCTGTGGCGCCTCCTGTGCCTCTGTTACTACGCCAAGGCTCAACTGGAGGTACTGAAGCTCACAAAGCACATGGAAGACGGGACCATTAAGGCTCGCTGGAGGATCAGGGGCCTTCCCTTCGCCTCTCTGCTGCTACGCTTCTATCGCAAAGACAAGTCCCTGCTGTACAGGTAACACAGGGCATCCACATTGTTACCAGCTTCAGTCTAATGAAGACATTTGACTGCTTTAAAGAATTATTTTCTTTCTGTTCTAGGTCATATGATGCATTCTCTACTTTTTACATTGGACAGGATGGACTCATTCACTGTCATAAAGTGGAAAAGGTAAGCAGGTGTGTAATGTTTGCAGTACTACAGTTACTGCTGTTGTGAGAGGAGTTCTTGACTCTGTCAGACAGTTAAACAACCATGTCTTCTAAAGGTGTAATACATAGGAGCCATCGCCTTAAAGGGGCCAAAATGCAACAAACGCAGCTGCTGAAGGAGCTTACTAGACAGGTTATTGGGATAGTCTCAGACAGCTTCATACTGTACAGTACCTGTAAAGGCCAGACCAGCATCTTTAAATTGGCTGCTGTGGTGTTTGAAAGGCTGGACCCCACTCTTCACTCCTCATGAGCATCCATTTAACCGTCATTTTCATTTTTTTATATTTATTTCATTCATGTGGATTTGCATTTTAGTCATAGTATAACCGTACCATATTCTTCTGTTTTTATGGGCTATAATTCTCCACATTTTAGTCATGACATATTATAACCGTACCATATTCTTCTGTTTTTATAGACTATAATTCTCCACATTTTCCACTTTTACTGCGTCAATCGATGAAGTCAAACCGGAGATGATGTGGTGTGTGCTGTATTTGATCTGATGCACCTCTGTGTTGCAGGTGATGCCGAATCAACCCCCCGTCCTTCCCAGAGTGACCTCTCTCCTGGCGGGGGCTTTGGTGGCACTTGGGGTGCAGGAGCCTCGCCCTGCTCTCAACCTGCTGCCCCTCCTCCTGTCCACACTGAGACAGAGCAGAAACTGACCCCGTCTCACCTGTAGAGGGCCGATGGCCAGTGTGTCCGGGATCCATGTGACCCAACATTCACAATTAAGGAACAAATTAAAATGCAGGGTTAAGCCCTCTGCTTGAATCTGTGCTGCCCCTGAATTATATACCTTTTTTTCCTCATTTTAATTTAAAAATAAACGTGGTCAACATCAAGATAGCTCTGGGTTTTCAGATCCAGGAGCTACATGTGATTTATGACGACAGGCTTGATGGGCGAGTGTATAGAAACTGACCCACGCATGCAAACAGCAAAGACTGCGGACGTGATGGTGGTGAATCGAAGCTGGATTACAGAAATGTAATGTAATGTTTAGATACATTTAGATTTACATCATATCGCACGTAACTTTGCACTTATATATTGTCATTATCGTCAGAAATATTGTAAAAAATATAAACACACTCAAAAGTCAAATCCTATTTGTCTGCACCCTGAGGAGACTGAACTAGTGACTCTTGTGTAAAAGATCATCAACTAGCATGAAAGAACAGGAAGTCATTAGTTTTCAATCATCTAAAACTGTGATTTTACTTTTCATTCGATGTTTGTGAGTGAATTCAATGCGTTGAACACAAATGAATTGACTCATTTATAGTGTATCTATCAGAGCCCACTAGTGCATCGGAGTAACCATGGCAACTCACACACCTCTGCTCACCTCTTTATCACCTGCAAAGTAGAATTATGTAAATTAGCATCGCTGCAGAAATATTCCCACTCCAACACTCCATATCCTCATTTTCAGTCCCAATCATAATGTAATAAAAACATTTAATTGTGATCGAACTTCCATCAGGACCATCAGGAATGAGTGAGTGAATCTGGGTACAGACTGAAAGCCACACCCACTGAAGGCCGGGTGAAGCTTGCTTCTAGTTAGCATTCTGGTTTAGCTGGCTAAGACACATTCAATCTAACAATGACACTATTTGCATCCACACAGAATAACAAAATGCTTTTGTTTTGCTACACGCCCAAAGCGTGTCCAAAACATTGCACAGTGGAGGTGCGGATTGAAACCCAACTACCAGGTTTGTTGTGTGTCTGTCGGGACGTGTGATAAGCTGCACGTTTGTTTGACCCAGAGCAGCGCTCTTCAATAAGTACTCAACCCTCACCTGCATTCAACCAAAGCCCGTTTCAACGTGGTCAGTACTACTAAAAAAGGAAACCGTAGCGCTTCCTCTTCCAAAACATTTTCTTGTTGCCAATAGATGTTGTTCATGAATTAATAATCTGCTTCTGTATATAGATATTAATCCTTCATTTTCAGAAGTCTAATTAGCCTATAACAAAATGTCTGCCTTGATCTCACAGCTACGTTGACTAGCATTAATAAAGCTGTATTTGCTCTGTCACCTTTCTTTAACCATATCTCTTCCTACCGAAGTTGCGTATTTAGTATAAAAAATGCCTTCAGTTGTTACTGATGATCTATGTGTCTCCGGGCCGCCGCTCCAAAGCCTGTTTTATACTAGTGATGTGACAATGGCTACAGAGAGCTGCTTTGTCCTCTGGGCAACAATGACCCTCAAAAAATGTCTTTACTGGGTTATGATTTAAACAGCAAAGATGACACCAAAGGACATTCATGAGCCATAGTCAGTCAAAGCCCTGCCGATCTACGCTCCAGGTTGTAGCGTGTGTCACCACCGGCTCGGAAGCCGCAACATAAGGAGGGACAACAACGCCAAGGTAGAGGCAAAACCCCAAAGGGGACAGTTTATTGTGACCCAGGACCAGCAAGGTGCATCCAAGCACTGGAAAAGGTCTTTAAGGTAGCCAATTGCAAGTTGTGCTTCTCTTTGATTCTCCTCTGAACAGTGGCTACATAGTAGCATCAAAACAGCTATCAAATGATCTGAAAACAGCAGTATGGTTTAGGGGAAGGCTGCAAAAAGTTATCCCAGAGGTTTCCACTGTGGGGAATGTTATTAAGAAATGGAAGTGGCAGGCCAAGAAAGATAACCGAGGCAAAGGCTAAGAATGGTCAGAATGGTACTCAGGCCACCTCCAAGGACCTACAAGGTCATCTCCCTGCACATGGTGTCACTGTGCGTTGCTCAACCATTCAGCGCACAGCTGGATGGGAGAGTGATGCGGGAGAAGCTTTTTCTGCACGGCCACAAACAGGCTCATCTGAGGTTTGTAAAACTACATTCGAACAAGCCTGGTTCATTTTGAAACAACGTGCTGCGAGTCTAAGATAAAGGTATTTAGTCACAACAAGAGGCGTTGCGCATAAAGACAAAAAAAAAGGCATTCCGAGAAAAACACCTGCTGCCCAAAGTAGAATTTGGTGGGGGTCCACCCTGCTGAGGGGCTGTGGGGCTGTGCAGGAACTGGGAGACTAGTTAAAGTTAAGGGTCGTTTGGATTCAACTCAAATTCCAACAACTAGCAAATTCTTGACAATAATGTTCAAGATTCTGTAACAAAGCTGAAGTTACGGTGGAGTCGGCTGCTAAAGCAGGACAACGACCCAAAACATTGCTCCAAATCCAAAGGAACAACCACAATGTTCTGTAATGGCCATCCCAGTCCCCACACTTGAATATTATATGGGATGACTTGAAGCGGGATGTCCACACTAGAAACCAATAAAACCTTACGGAACTGGAGATGTATTGTACGGAAGAATGGTCCAAAATACCATCATCTAGAATCTAGACTGGCTCAAGTAAATATTAATGTCATTTTTTTTTTGGGCGTGCCCAAATATATGCACCTGTCAACTTATGTCATGATGCATATGGCGTATTTTTCTGTTTATCAAATAAACCTTATTTGACAGCTAAAATGTCACTTTGTCCATGAAGTATTATATATACGACAAGAAGTTCCTGATCCAAATGCCCAAAAATGTATGAATGACAATGGGGAATGGAGATTATCAGGGGTGCCCAAACCTGCATCAGGAATCAGGAAACATTTATTGGCCAAAATATGTCAAACATACAAGGAATTTGTCTTGGCGGTTAGTGCGCGACAGTAGACAGACAAGACAACAGTGCACAGGTAATAAAATAAAGTGGAATGAAATGCTAATGCAATGGGTTAGTAAGAATAAGGCTAAGGCTATGGGTTAGTAAAAAAGCAAGGGAATAAAGTTAAACAAATTTTAAATATTAAAAAGTTAAAAAGAAAAGTATTAAGCATAAAGTGCACTAACAAACAAGTAACAGACAAGAGACAAAGTGACAAGTGACAAAGTGATGAATTGCAGTTAAAGTGGCATGTGCAGTGTGAGGGGGAGTGACCGGTGGAGTGTTATAGTCAGGCAGTGGGGGACCGGGCTCTGTTGATGAGCCCGACTGCCGACGGGAAGAAACTGTACGTGTGGCGGGAGGTCGTAGTCCTGATGGACCTCAGCCTCCTGCCAGATGGAAGGGGCACAAACAGTATGTCCGGGGTGAGAGGGGTCGGCCGCGATCTTTTTAGCTCGCTTCAGAGACCTGGAAGCGAACAAGTCCTCCAGGGACGGCAGATTGCAGCCGATCACCCTCTCTGCAGAGCGGATGACACGCTGCAGCCTGCCCTTGTCCTTGGCTGTGGCTGCAGCGTACCAGACGGTGATGGAGGAGCAGAGGATGGACTCGATGATGGCCGTGTAGAAGTGGACCATCATCGTCTTTGGCAGGTTGAGTTTCTTCAGCTGCCTCAGGAAGAACAACCTCTGCTGAGCCTTCTTGGTGATGGAGCTGATGTTCAGCTCCCACTTGAGGTCCTGGGTGATGATGGAGCCCAGGAAGCGGAAGGAATCCACAATAGTGACGGGGGAGTCACACAGGGTGATGGGGGAGGTTGGGGCTCTGTTCCGCCGGAAATCCACAACCATCTCCACTGTCTTTAGAGCGTTGAGCTCCAGGTTGTTCTGGCTGCACCACGACACCAGATGGTCAGACTCCCACCTGTAGGCGGACTCGTCCCCACCAGAGATTAGTCCAATGAGGGTGGTGTCATCCGCAAACTTCAGGAGCTTGACGGACTGGTGGCTGGAGGTGCAGCTGTTGGTGTACAGGGAGAAGAGCAGAGGGGAAAGAACGCAGCCTTGGGGGGAACCGGTGCTGATGGTCCGAGAGGCTGAGACATGTTTCCCCAGCTTCACGTGCTGCTTCCTGTCAGACAGGAAGTCTGTGATCCACTTGCAGGTGGAGTCGGGCACGTGCAGCTGGGAGAGTTTGTCCTGCAGCAGAGACGGGATGATAGTGTTAAAAGCAGAGCTGAAGTCCACAAACAGGATCCTGGCATAGGTTCCTGGGGAGTACGCCTGTACAGACGAGGACACAGCCAATCCCGGAGCTGAACATTTAATTACTTGGGAAACACACATTTGGGAAAGTATCATGTCCTGATTCACAGTGTTCTCATCGGGAGATGGTGGAATCTTGCAATGCAGTTAGATGCACTGGATGAAGAGGAGTCTGATGTTGTCTCAAATCATCGGTCTCTAATTCTTTTGTGAGGATAACATTTTTTCTATTGCGCTCCGGCCATCCCGATAGAGAGGGATCTGTAAGGAATTTGTGTTCGGTCTGCTTCGTAAGGCAGACCCCTCTCTTAAGGCCCCTCGTCATAATAAATCGGAATATTCTATAACAGAACCTAAAACAAAACCCAGTCCCGGTTGCTGTCCAGTGTCACATTAGAGATCTTCTGAATGTCCTGTGTTTATGTTTTGGGGTAATGGCTATTAAGAACCAGCTTACTCCTTAAGATTAGACTGTGCCACACCAGCAAGTGCCTTGCAGGTATTGAGTACCTTAAAATCTATTCTTGATTTAACAGGGAGGCAGTGCAGAGAAGTTAATACAGGAGTAATATGATCCCTTTTCTTAGTTCTTGTTAATACACGTGCTGCAGCGTCCTGAATCAACTGGAGAGGCTTAAGAGATTTACAAGAGCAGCCTGATAACAAAGAGTTAGTTAGTAATCCAGTCTTGAAGTAACAAACTGATGAACTAATTTTTCTGCAGCACTTTTGAAGTTTTTCAATATATTACATAGATGAAAAAAGGCTGCTTTATCTGAGAGTTACCGTAAAGGACATATCCGGGTCGAAGAGAACGCCAAGATCCTTTGTGATGCTGCTGGGTACCACAGAACAATGCGAGATTGGATCGCTTACCAACATAACATATTGTTCATTCTGTACACAGTCTGTCTATCCCGGGAAGGAATCCTCCTCTGACATTCTGCCTAAGATTTCTTTCCCCTTTTCATTTTCTGAGGAAATTTTCCTGTGCCGATGGTGGGTTCGGGACAGAGGATGTCATATGTGTACAGACTGTAAAGCCCTCTTAGGCAAATTTGTAATTTGTGATTTTGGGCTATACAAAATAAAATGAATTGAATAAACTGACACTGAGGTCCTTGGTCCGATGCAAGTAGAAGTCAATTGTAATTTTCACTAGTGCCGTTTCTGTGCTATGGTGCACGCAACATCCTGACTGAAATTTCTCAAACATAACTAATTTGCGAAGGAAGAGGTTTAATTACAGCTACCTGGAAGGACTGTGGTAAAATTCATAATATCTAGACGTGCTTCCTCAAGCAGCCTGTATTCAGAATCGGATCCAAGAAACAGGTGGAGAAATTCTAATAATAATTAAGTTAGTTGATCAAAGATGATGGCAGAGAAGCCATCCAAATACAGCTGCCTCAAAGCTTCCTACACCCGAGGACAGATTGATTGAAGCTATCATACAATCAATATTCTCTCTAATAGTGTGTGACTCTAATAGCAAATTATGACATAATAGCAAGATGCACCTAATAAAGTGGCTGGTGAGTGTATATATATCAGACGTAAAATAATTCGCCAAAATATCCAAATGGATCAGATCAGAATTGCTGTGTCTTTCTAACACAGATGAAGAGGAGCAGCTGTAGTCTGTGATGCTGCTGAAACTTAGGCCACATTTACACATAGTCGGGTATTTACAGAAACAAATATTTCTGCCCCTCCGTTTTCAAAAAAGTTTGTGTTTATATGAACCCGCATAAATACGTCTCCGAACGCCATCATAACTACGCCAAACCTGTAGTCGGCAGTGTAACGAGAAGGATAAAGACATGCAAACCAATCAGAATTCTCAAAACCAACAACAAGTCGCATACTGTGATGTTTGACAACCTAAAACTCCGTTAGACCGAGTTCACACGCAAACACAAAAACAGAGTTTTCAGAAATCTCCACTTTGGCCGGAGTTTTTAGAAATGATCGTTTTCCGTGATAAAACCTCCGTTTTTGTGTAAATGAAAGGCCAAAACTCATGAAAATATACGCGTTTTCCCATCTGGTAAACGGGGTCTTACTGGATTATACTGACAGGTGTATATATTGTAACGTTCCGTGTCAATAAAGAGCCAGGTTCTTATAACTCGGGTTTATTGTTGCCTGTTGTCGGCCACAGCCACGCCATTCCACAACACCCGGTCATCAACTTAGTCAGAACTCAACTTCCCCTTCCTGTGCTCCCCGAAAACTACACACATTCCCCGGAAGGGGCGGTACCCCAACCCTGGCCTACGTAACAGTAACATTAATCAGAGCCATATACATTTATGAGCTTAAGGCACGCTACAATATGAACAAACAGTCTCCGACAACACATTATGAACGCTGCTAGTTATAGTAGCCTATAGGAAGCAGCATCAAGCTGAAGGAGAACGATGTGTGTGTGACAGTCAGCTGCTGTAGCTTGGAAATATTCTGTAATATCTTGAATTGCAGTTATATTAGCTTATCTTACTTTGCAAGGAAATAATTAAAAGTCTGTGCATACAAGTTGATAAATGTGGTTGATAGGTTTTATTTATCGATTTCTTCTGCCCTTCCTCTCGCACCTCGCACCTCTGCGTCATTTCCGGGCGACTAGATGCGTGCTGCTCTGTGCTCCAGTGGCGTATTTGCTTGGTAAATGCCATCGACAGCCAGTGTCCTCTCCCTCCCTCCTGTGTGTAAGCGTGTGTCCTAGAACACGAGTTGTGGTGATCAGCAGAAGGGGGTCGCTGCTGTTTTCCCTCTAGTGAAGTTTGTGTCTCCGCTGAAGCTCCACCTCCAGGGAAGCTTCGTCTCCGCGGCGTTCTCCTGACAGCCTTTACCTCCCCCCTGGAAGCGTTGTCGTACCACACTGCGCTGTGTAGGACTGCGTGCGGTCGGTCTGCAGCTTGGTGTGCCGAATATCGGTCGCCCCGCTGAACTGCCTGGCATCCTGTTTATACCGTGCGCCAGATCAGTTCCTTCTTAAACACTTATCACGTCTGTGTTTTAACCACGGCTGTGTCCCTTTTGTGATTTGTTTGTATTGTGGGTGACTGTGGGTGAGTGGGGAGCACGGTCGTCCTCCAATGAGAGGGTTGTCGGTTTTCAGGATTTCAGGAGGAACAGAGCCCCACCCTCCCCCATCACCCTGTGTGACTTCCCCGTCGCTATTGTGGATTCCTTCCGTTTCCTGGGCTCCATCATCACCCAGGACCTCAAGTGGGAGCTGAACATCAGCTCCATCACCAAGAAGGCTCAGCGGAGGTTGTTCTTCCTGAGGCAGCTGAAGAAATTCAACCTGCCAAAGACGATGATGGTGCACTTCTACACGGCCATCATGGAGTCCATCCTCTGCTCCTCCATCACCATCTGGTACGCTGCAGCCACAGCCAAGGACAAGGGCAGGCTGCAGCGTGTCATCCGCTCTGCAGAGAGGCTGATCGGCTGCAATCTGCCGTCCCTGCAGGACTTGTTCGCTTCCAGTTCTCTGAAGCGAGCTAAAAAGATTATAGCCAACCCCTCTCACCCCGGACAAAACCTGTTTGTGTCCCTTCCATCTGGCAGGAGGCTGAGGTCCATCAGGACTAAGACCTCCTGCCACACAAATAGTTTCTTCCCGTCGGGAGTCAGGCTCATTAACAGAGCCCAGTCCCCCACTGACTGACTCTGACATTCCACCAGTCGCTTTCTTTCTCACTTTATGTTCGTTTGTGCACTTTATTTTTAATTTTTAATTCCTAAATATTGTTAACTTGAACTTTTATTCCTTTATTTTAAACTAACCCATAGCCTCATACTACTAACCCATAGCATTATATTTGATTCCTCGTGCACTGTTGTTTTGTCGTCCATTGTCGTACTGTCTGCTGTTAAGCACCAACCAAAGAAATTCCTTGTATGTCTCACATATTATGGCAATAAATGTTTCCTGATTCCTAATTTGACGTCTGGGGCGGTGCAAAAGGACTCCCAACCACAACTATACGATGCCCTTGTAATTAAGGGATGACACCGGGGCCGGCATACAATTCAAACTGGCCTGCAGCCCACTTGGCCCACACCCGTACAGCAAGTATCTCTAAAAGGTTCCATTTTTGTATTGGGAGCATCATTTCTGTATTATTCATGTTCATAAACATGTCCATTGTTAATCAATTTCTTAATATCATGAACATCCGTTGTTTCTCCTCATATGGTAACTAAACAAGATTTCTTGTAAAAAATCAATTCAGTAACATGTATTCATGAATTAATTTATTCCAGTCATGTTAACAAGCACAAAGCAGACATTCAGTTTGAATGGAGCCTCATGATGACGCTGTGGCAGATCATTGTGTGCAAGACACGCACACGCACGGAGCAACAATACTGATGGAGCTCTATGATATCACTTACCATTTACTATGAACAATTTGCAATTATTTTCATCTTTTCCTTGTACAGATCAAGAATGCAACATTTTCAGCACATGATAGAACGACAATGTAGTACCAGGATAAATAAGCAGAGGATAAAGCGGAATATTTGGATAAAAGGTAGAGTGAGTAGATCAATGTAAAGATCTCTGGGGTCTAAGAAACGTTCATTGTGATTGCTGTGTGTTTTGTTATGCCACGGTTTGTTTATTTCGTCATGTGTTTGTTGTCATCGTCCGTAGACTCCGCCCTTTGCCCGTTGTCATTCACCTGTCCTCTATCTCCCTGATTGTATGCCTGATTTGTTTCTCCTGTGTCTGGTTAGTTTCCCCTCCTATATATAGGTATGTCTTTCTGTTGTTCCCTGTCAGATTGTCATTCAGTGTTTTGTGAAGTATCTATGCCCGTACCTACATGTTTTGCGAATCAACAGTTTAAAGAGTTTTTTCTGGATTTTGTGTTTTGCCTTTTGGGGATTTTTTTTGCAAATTTGGTTTTCTCTACGTCTTTACGGCGAGAAAGCCTAACAATTACGTTGATTGTGCATGATTTCACATCTTCGGTCCACATATGTACAAGCTACTAATAGTTGGTGCAAATGACGTGTTGACACAATGTGACCAGTTACTAAAAGGAACCATTAGTATCGGTCAGAATTGTTAAGGTTTAGGCTTTAAATTTGACTTCAATACAATATTTCAAGACAAACACTTTTTCCATCACAATTTTACAACTGTACTTTTCTAAAATTATGACCTTTTTCAATGTAATATTGTTACTTTCTTATTGAGTGTGAAGTATACTGACATTTCACTAAGCTACTACATCATAAGTTCCTCAGAGGTGTCCAAAGGAAATGAGCCACTTAGTTCACAGCTCTTAACTCTATGCTATGGAAAGTCCAGTCAGCAGGTTTCTCCATCCAGACCAAAAAGTCAGAATTCATTGAATTCTGAGGTGGGAAGGGGATGATAGCACACAACACAACCCAGAGTTCCATGCTGCGGGTGGTCTGTTGAGTGCCTGCTGGTCGCACAGCGCTGAGGAAGATTAGCTGTCTTCGACAGAGAAAGCTTGGTGTGTGTTTGGGAATCGCTGAGTGTTGTAGTTCGGATTGTCTCTCACACGCTCTCTGATGTCACTCTTCACCTGGCAGGGGGACAGTGAATGCAAGTTACTGAGAGAATGGCCTTCATATAAAAACTCCTGCTTTTCATATACGACTGATGGAAGGTGGGATGAGAAGAGGGTCTACAGCTAAACTGTTGACAAGGTTTCTCAGGTCTTCAAAGCTGTCAAAAAGGACTTCAGTTCTGTTGACAGGTCACCACCAAGTCTTTTCAACCCTTACTAAGGAACAGCGGTTGCTAATAAATGGCGGTTTGCTAAGCTAACGAACGGCAGTTTATGAGGAAAGGCGGTCGCTACGGAACGGCGGTCGCTACGGAAAGGCGGTTTCTACGGAACGGCAGTTGCTAAGAAACAGCGGTTGCGAAAATATAATGATGCCCCTATAGGTTGGTAAGCAACAACAGTTACAGAGCGGCATATGCTAATGGACAGCAGTTGCCATGGAGCGGTGGTTGCTAAGGAACGGCAGTTGCTAGTGTAATGGGAAAATATAATGTAATCATTGGCGGTTCCTATGGAACAGCGGCTGCTAATCATTGGCGGTTGCCATGGAGCGGTGGTTGCTAAGGAATGGCGGTTGCTGGTGTAATGGGAAAATATAATATAAGCCTTGCCGGTTCCTATGGAACGGCGGTTGCGGAATGCCGGTGAGATAACCAATTCTGATAACCTGTTGGGTGTATGCTTCCTGTAACTCTGGCGTCTCCAGCTCCCCCTGCAGGCAGTTTGGGTCGGTGACTGGCTGGGCTCCTGCAGCTCGAGCAGCCCGACCTACTGCGTCTGACAGGGACAGGTGGGGCCCTTCACACTGGGTCATCTAAGGACACAAATTCTACTGTTACTCCCCTGAAAAGGAACATTATGACATATCTGCCTGTCCAGGACACAGGTGTCTTCAGGTTGTATTTAGCCTGGCTTAGCACAAAGACTAGAAGCAAGAGTAAATCGTTAGCCTGGTTCTGATTGTCTAATATGATTCTATCTGATTGTGATAGTAAAGTGTGCCGTTCACCTTCCTCCGCTTGGCGGGCATGCTGTGCAGATAGGCATCGGACAGCGGCGGCTGGCCTTTCATCTTCCTCTGAGACAGCATGTCATTTCTGATGATTGGAACCCATTCCTGACAAAAACATACCGCTGATGAACGGGTTATAACTCTAATTCACAAAACTGTAAATTCATAGCAAGGCAACAATGCTCTGATTACTATCACTGTTCTGCTGTATCCACTTCTATCGTGAACAGGACTTAGCTCTGAAAGGTTTAAAGATTGCTATAGCAACACGTCGGATTGGATGAAGAGCTTCCAGTTCTCAGCTTTGTGCCAGATTGGAGGGGCTTCTTTAATGTCGTATTTCAAAAGTAATCAGTACTTGATATCCATGTAATCCTGGGAAAAAAAACTAATTCCTTACAGGTGGAACAGCTGCTGCCCATGACTCCACCCCAGGGGACGCCTCCTCCCGGCCTGTCGGGCCCCAGCCAGGACACGACCTGTCCCCTGATAAGGCCGGTTTTACTCCAGGTGATGCTCCCCTCTCTCCAGGGGCCTCCACTGCTGTGGTGGCTGGAGCCGGAGACAAACTGTCCTCCATCTGACATATGGGATGATCACATGACCCATTCGTTCCCATGACAATGTTTACATTAGTACTGCAGCTGCTAGCTGACAGACGCATTGACCTCAGACTGTACCGGATGTGGAGTGGGTCAGAGTGAGTAGTACATCACATTGATAGCTGGCATGGTCGAAGCCAAGGCAAATCGCATTATGTGTATTTGTCTAGGGCAGCGGTTCCCAAACTCAAGAATGCCGCGGCCCACTTTGAAATCTGAAAATCTTTCGCGGCCCACCCAAACCTTTAATCACAACTCTGATCAAAACATAATGATTAAATGACCTTAAGAATTTAACCAAAATCAAACATCCGCAAGCAAAAGTCCGTGTCGCGAGGTATTTGCTCGCTTGCGAAACGTGAACTTCGTTGCTCGCGAGGAGAATCACTGCTCGTGCTCGAAGGAGTTTTCTACACACTCGTTGTTGTTTTTTTTTCATTTAGGGGGAGACGGTGCTTTCAGGGTCCGATCGATGTCGCGAGGTGCGTCCGCTCCCGCCGCCCCCTCGTCATCCACGCCTTAAATCTTCGGCCCCTTTTCTCTAACTTATTTTCTCCGTTAAGATGGTTCAGCTACTGTAGAGAAAAGGGCGCCGTCTCTCGCTCTTTAATCTCATGAAGTGCTCGGCGAGAATGACAACTTTGTTTCTCCGAGCGCCCTGAAACATATCTCCATATCTCACGCGCTTGAGCGCTGCTCAGCATCTCGCCGTCGTAGACGAGCTTTGGCATGTTTGGCAGAGCGCCTTGAGCGCCGTGTACAACCAGTATGGATCCACCGAGTAACCAATTGATCCATATATATAAGGTGCTCCGGATTATAAGGCACTGTCGTTTTTCGAGAAAATTAAAGCCTTTTAAGTGCGCCTGGGAGTGCAGAAAATGCGATATATTTACTTTAATACTGCAAGAGGGCGCCCCGTTTGTTGAACAACGACAAGCGGACAAGAGCAGCCGTTTCGAGCGAGAGCCTCATTGTTTTATTAATCTGTCCGTTTAAATAGTTTGTGCTTTATCAACTAATGTTTCACATAACTAATGTGCCGCATCATGAATATTTTTATATTAATTTCAAACTTTTAAAAATTGAAAATTAAACTATTTATTTATTTATTGTAAATGACCTCTCGCGCCCCACCTGCAGTACCTTCGCGGCCCACACTTTGGGAATCGCTGGTCTAGGGGAGCTTTCGTCATGCAGTTTTTCTGCATCTGGACCGTTCCTGCTACATAAGTTGTTCGCAGTGACATAAAGTGGTTCATTATAGCCAATATTTCCAAAGGACCGATCCTATGAACTATAATCATCGGTCACTTATGCCCACCAAATAGCAAGCATCGCAACAGGAGAAAATTAGGAATAGATGACTCTCTTTTTGAAAGTTACATCCACATTTTCTTATCAAACTCAACTTCAGAATGACCAATAAAGGTGTTGGTGTGCAGGACAGCAGCTAAAATTATCAGCACAAATTAAAACAATTAGTGTGTTTGAATCAACTAAATAACGAAGCCCTGAATAATGTTCTTATTGATTGACTCTTAAAGTAACGCACAACCCGTCTTAGTTTTTTTTAAAGGTGTGACTCCTAATTACCTGTGTGTAGATGATGTAGTGCTGGATGTGGTCCTCAGTCACCGGATTGTTTTCCAGAATCACATGCAGCCTCATAGACATCATACTGGTCAGCCAGTTGACCAGACTGGGATTGACTTCTGCAGACATCCTCCTCTATACACACAGAAACATGCAGTAAGGGCCAATAGGGAGCAGGCGCCTGTATCACATAATGCTCGGCTCAGACATGATGAGTACTCACAAGGCGCTGGGTGATGACGGCCGTCAGACATCTCTGCTCTCCTCGTAGGCAGTACAGGTTCAGAGCCAGACACTCAAACAGGCCCTGTGTGCACAGCAGCAGCAGGCGGGGGCCAAACGTGATATCTGCATGAAAACACCACCTCATCTTCACATCAAAGATACCATAACATGTTAGGAGATGCAGTGGGTGGTGTGAGGAGGAGAGGCCACACGGCACCTCTAATGAGAACGATCAGTTTAATCACTGAAAACAGCCGCTCTTTCACAAACAATCTCTTTACTCATCGAACTTTGCTTCAGCTCCTCAGATAATGCACATGACTCGTGGATACGTCTCAAGGGTACTTTCATGCAGCGCTATTAAATGGACTAGTAGCGTGCGACGACTCCCCCCCCCCCCCAGCCCCCCGTCGGTCGGACTACTACCCGCCAGTTATTCCAGTCCGCAAAATATTGTCTGACATAAACTGCTTGTGAGGTAAAAAAGGTTGTGGAACACTGTTCTACATAAGACATTAAACACGTGGACTTGAGCTGAGCTGGAGGGGCAACCAGTTGGTCAGCCACCAACTGACTGAACGCACGTACCATTGGGGTGCAGGATAAGGGAGGCCATCTGCGTGAACTGCTGTCTGAGGAAAGACAGGTTGGTCTGAACGATGTCCACTCCGTCCCGCACTGTCACTGTGGCCTAGACAGGACACGCACAGACACAACCCACCAATGTGTATCACTACACATGCTTTAGATGGACTGCAGAGGTGTGTGTGTGGGAGAGGGCGTTCTTACAAAGCTCTCTGCTATGTACTCCTCCAATCCGTTAATCAGCTGCTCGGCTGCTATCTGCAGAGAGGACAATGTGGGATGCTCTTTACTGTGTAACACCGAGGAAAAAATCAACAGATACAAACAGCACTCCACACTGTCAGCTCAGAATGGCCCGATGCATTTTCTTACATTTAGAATTGACTCATTTCATATCTAGTACATACCTACACAGAGTCCCAACCCAATACTTCTATTTCTCTGGATAATTTGGCTGCAAGGTATATACTCAAGGCCAGGACTGTGAATGAACACACAACTTACAAAGACGTGGAAGCTGAATGGGTTAAAACAATACAGAAATAACCATCCTAATGCACACAGACATTTTTCACTCTGGATTGTCCCTTTGTCCTGGTGAAGAAGCATGTGTGTGTGGGCCTGATAGCCGAAGTGTGGCACTGTGGGCAACGTTATTAAGCTTGAACAATAAATGAAAATTTGCAATTGCAAATCGGGATTTCGTTTCAAAATGTTTCAGCGCTACCTGAACGAAGACATCCCCAGGGTCTACTTCAGACCTGAGAACCTGCTCGTGTGTGGACAGTTAACAAGCAGGTGTCACAGGATGAAATAGAAATACAATACATCAGCTTCAGATTGCTATATGACAGCAGTGTGAGGGAGTGTACAGTTCTCACCTCTATGTTGGCGTCACTGGGCTCTCTGCCCTGCAGGTAGTGCTCATTGAAGAAGTCAGTGAGCTGGGGCTGGATGCGACTCAGAGGCTGGGCGTTCCCATGAAGCAGCAAGACCATGTCTACCATGGAGAAGCTCTGACACACCACGGACAGTAGGTCACCAAAAAACCCTGCCGGGATGAGTCAGCACATCAACAACAATCGTGGAGATGCTGGGATGATTGGAGATGTGTTCAATGTTTTGGCCCGATCCCAGCACACTGGCTGGAACCTGAAACGTGACGAGGAGGTTACTGTTAACCTCCTGCTGCAGTGTGCTGATCTACGACTCACCCACAGCGTCTCCAGAGCCCTGCGAGAAAAGGTTGCTGGTCTGGGACAGTCTCTGGATGAACTGGGCGATGCTCTCTCCGTTGCCCTGCTGGGCCCCCAGAGAGCTCATCATGGTGGACAGCACTCCCTGCACGATGCCAGTGAACAGCTCCGGGCTCAGAGAGTCTCCACCTGAATCGCCGCCAGCTAGAGTAGGAGAGGGACCACTGGACTGAGGGGGGACTGGGGCGGCAGCCCTACGCTCAGCTGGCTGGGCAGACACAAAAAACCCAACACGTTTATGGCTTTGTTTAGTACAAACAAACCAGTACACTTTTCTGTGAACTGACCTGTGTGAAGTCCGAAAGGCCCTGGAAGAAGGCTGGCAGTGTCACGGTGATGGAGGGAGCTGCTCCACCAAGCACAGAGCCCAGTAGCTGGGCCAAATGTCCTTCAGGACTTCCCTCTGTGGGCTGGCCAGTTGACGGAGTGTTGGTGGTGTGGGTGGATGTCTGTCCGGAGGTGTTAGCAGAGGGAATGGGGGGAGACACGGTGGAGGACGAGGTAGAGATGGAGGACTGAGAGCTGGCCAAAGAGGATGTGGACATGGGGTCCCCTGGAGGGGGGGTAACCAAAAACAACATGAATAAAAAAATCGGGATACGGATCTCTCACATTCAGGATTTTTATTTATGAAGTGGGATACATACTGAGTATCACTAATTTGTCAAAGCTCTCTGGTGGGTGAGACTGTTTCTAATTCATCTACATTTGCATAATTGCAATATATATCTTTAATCAATTATTATCGATTGATATATTATCCTGGTCAGTTTATCAGTTGAGCTGTAGAGATAACTTATTGATTTTAGTAAGCTTTGTTGCAATGACTGTCAATGTGCATTTACATCCTTACAACTACAGTTTGGACCGAAGCACCATAAAATTCACACACCACATACAGTGCGTCCGGAAAGTATTCACAGCGCTTCACTTTTTCCACATTTTGTTTTGTTACAGCCTTATTCCAAAATGGATTAAATTCATTATTTTCCTCAACATTCTACACACACAACCCATAATGACAAAGTGAAAACAGTTTTTTGCAAAGTTTTGCAAATCTGTTAAAAAGAAAGAACGAAAACATAACATGTAGGCCTACATAAGTATTCACAGCCTTTGCCATGACCCTCAAAATATAGCTCAGGTTCATCCCGTTTCCACTGATCATCCTTCAGATGTTGCTACAACTTGATTGGAGTCCACCTGTGCTAAATTCAGTTGATTGGACATGATTGAGAAAGGCACACACCTGTCTATATAAGGTATCACAGTTGACAGTGCATCTCAGAGCATAAACCAAACCATGAAGTCCAAGGAATTATCTGTAGACCTCCGAGACAGAATTGTATCGAGGCACAGATCTGGCGAAGGGTACAGAAAGATTTCTGCAGCATTGAAAGTCCCAATGAGCACAGTGGCCTCCATCATCCGGAAAGGGAAGAAGTTTGGAACCACCAGGACTCTTCCTAGAGTCGGCCGCCCAGCCAGACTGAGCGATCGGGGGAGAAGGGCCTTAGTCAGGGAGGTGACCAGGAACCCGATGGTCACTCTGACAGAGCTCCAGTTCTATGAAGAGAGGAGAACCTTCCAGAAGGACAACCATCTCTGCAGCACTCCACAAATCAGGCCTGTTTGGTAGAGTGGCCAGACGGAAGCCACTCCTCAGTAAAATGTTTGCAAAAAAGCACCTGAAGGACTCTCAGACCATGAGAAACAAAATTCTCTGGTCTGATGAAACAAAGATTGAACTCTTTGGCCTGAATGCCAAGCGTCATGTCTGGAGGAAACTAGGCACTGCTCATCACCACAATACCATCCCTACAGTGAAGCATGGTGGTGGCAGCATCATGCTGTGGGGATGTTTTTCAGCAGGAGGAACTGGGAGACGAGTCAGGATTGAGGGAAAGATGAATGCAGCAATGTACAGAGACATCCTCGATGAAAACATGCTCCAAAGCGCTCTGGACCTCAGACTGGGACAGTTCATCTTCCAACAGGACAACGACCCGAAGACAACAGCCAAGATAACAAAGGAGTGGCTTCGGCACAACTCTGTGAATGTCCTTGAGTGGCCCAGCCAGAGCCCTGACTTGAACCCGATTGAAGATCTCTGGAGAGATCTGAAAATGGCTGTGCACCGACGCTCCCCATCCAACCTGATAGAACTTGAGAGGTTCTGCAAAGAAGAATGAGAGAAACTGCCCAGAAATAGGTGTGCCATGCTTGTGGAATCATACCCAAGAAGACTTGAGGCTGTAATTGCTGCCAAAGGTGCTTCAGTATTGAGCAAAGGCTGTGAATACTTATGTACATGTTATGTTTTCGTTCTTTATTTTTAACAGATTTGCAAAAAATTTCAAAAAGCAGTTTTCGCTTTGGCATTATGGGTTGTTGTATGTAGAATGTGGAGGAAAATAATGAATTTAATCCATTTTGGAATAAGGCTGTAACAGGACAAAATGTGGAAAAAGTGAAGCGATGTGAATACTTTCCGGATGCACTGTATACGCAGATCCGTCTTATCAATAAATATCTATAAATAACAAGAGAGAAGTAACAAAAACAAGTGGCATGTTCAACTACTGTTGTAAGATATCTATACGGAATAGTTGACACTGACCTGGCTGCCCCGCCATCAGGAGCTGTCCAACCAGACCACTGATCATCCGGGTAAGGGAGGAGGGAGCCGGAGGGGGGCCCTGCTCACAGTGGGGTGAGGGAGGGCAAGGATAACAACAAATTTATTAATCTGGGAGTATTAAATACTCTGTGAACATAGCTAAAGATCAACTTCAAATGAATCAGCATATGAATAAAATTTGAATCTTCCAATTCATTTTAAAATAAAATAATCTGAAAATGTGATTTTTTGTAATGTCCCTGTGTTTTTTATGCTATGACTCGGTGAAAATGATTTTGGGCTCGGCCCTCAAACATCTTACCATTTGTGTCATTTTAATGTTTTTTAAAGTGGTTTCTTACATTCATCAAGAAAACAAGGATGAATTGATAATGTTGACCCTTTTCCCTCTGCGCTGGGGTTACCTGCTCCAGCTGTTGACCAGCTGCGGGTACTGTGGCCCTCAGGCGGATGGTGGTTCCTCGCGGTCCTACAGGTTGAGGGATGTGGGGGGAGAAGGATGGTCTGTTGATAACAACCCTTGTCCCAGCAGGTTGGGGGTGCTGTGTGGAAGCAGCTCCCTCCATGTTAGAAGCTGAGCTAGCGACAGACTCCACCTGTGCTGGGGGGCCAGCTGACACTGCAGGGGCCATGGCGGCGGCTTGGTGGGACATCTGGTGCACAATGGCCTGCATGAACTCAGAGGGTATTCCTGAAAACAAAGAGTGTCCACTCATCGACTGTGACCCAAATTAATCACTGCAACTGTAAGGAGACAATTATTACCATAGCAACAATCACCCTATCACAGAGCAGCACTAGGCTGGGCAGTACCTGCAGTGTTCGGCAGTCCTGGGACCTGAGACCCGGAAGCTGCCTCACCTGTTCAACAAAAGAAGAGTTGTATGTAACTGGATGTCTGGATGTCCTGGCATTCATACTTCCATCTTTCTTAATTATTCATTTCTATGTCAGGGTTTCTCCTAGGTTCACAGGTTTGGGAAAGGAGGGGCGTGCAGACGGCCGGACAGCGACACATTTTCTATGAGCGCATGTGTAAACGTGTTACCGGAAAGAGAAATGACATGCCATTGTGTAAATAATATAAAGAACATTATGTTTTGTTTAGCAAAAGGATAAGGTATCTGTATATTTATTCCACATGAATTGTTTCTGCTAATGCAGATGATCTGTGCACAATTCATGACTTCACTAGTCTGTCTGACTGGGATGTGGTCCTTCCATATACTCCTCCTGCTCCATAATTCCCATTGATATGCATGAGATACTGGCATTGATAGTCACACCATCACCATTCATCTGCATCATGACCACAGGCTCCATGGCCTGGTGGGTGATTACTCGTGGTCCTCCCGGTCCTTGTTGGTGACTGGTCCTATTGGACAGAGAAGGCTGATCCGATAGGCCAGCGCCGTGAGGCGGCTGGTGTTGTCCTTCAGCTGTCGGTCTCCCATTAGATGTCATGGTCACTGTTGTCCCTAAGTTGATCTGGAGACAGAAATACGTGATGTCCTTCAAGGAGACAGACTTGGTGACGTTTGAATGCAACGGTTACTTGTGTACAACGTTTTGTAAAGACCTCTGGTATATTTCCACTACTCTCAATAGCAAGAGCAAACTGCCACTTGATTAGAGTTACAGGAGTATCTTTTGTGGTACCACCAGAATACAGGCAGACTCATCAACTCCTCCTTCACCAGAACAACTTGTTTAGCTTCTGTTCATCTATGTAGCACACACAAACTGTATTCAGAGGATGTCTCATTTGTTAATGTATTTGTGGTGGCGGGGTGTGGTTAGCTCAGGTGCAGAGGGGAGAGCGGGACAGTGGTTCGGGAGACGGTGCCGGCAGGTGATTAAGAAGCACAGGTGGAAGTGATCCGGACTGATTGTCTCCCTTTTGAAAAGCAGTGAGCAGGACCTGGAGCGAGAGACACTGGAGCAGACGCTCAGGGGCCAGGCCGAGGAGCGGAGCAGAGGAGAGCAACACTACAAATAAATGAAACCTGCTCACTGCGAACGAGAAAATAAAAACATATTGCCCAGTAGACCCGTGTATCCGTGCGTCCTTGACGAAACCCGATGGTGGTAACGATATCGCTGCTACAGTATTAATTACACATAAGTTACGGACTGACACGGACACACGTGGCGGCAGTTAGTAGGGAGAGTAGCAGTGAGTGGAACAGTTTTTCTTACCGTGTTATTTTACGGAATTAAAGTGGATTATTCTTCGGACCTATGAGTGTGTCAAGAGAAACAGCAATACTAAGGAAGAAGGGAAGCTGTATTCACCAACTTGTACGGAGACTCTTAATAAATAAAACACGTTTTTGCTTTCACTAATGAGTGTGAGCTATGTGTACATGACCACAGCCACGTGCCAGATTAAAGTTTACGCTCTGCTAAAATCTTTGGAGCCTACAATCAGGATCATGAACCAGGAAACGGTATCACAACGTAACCGTTTCATTAATGTGGTTACGTTGAGTGTCTGAAGTAGGTCAAAAGAAAAGCACTATTTGGCCATGACCTCAGAGCCTGTGTATTAGTTAACAATAACATAATCCCTTTGTGTGCTTCAATATCGGCCTCCCAAAAACCCACCAAGCAGCTTACATGTAAGATGAGCTCTAATAAATGACATTCTCACTTTTCTCCACAGCTGACAGAAATGATATCATAGAACATCAGAGTGCCACCTACTGGAACGGCCATGTGAGGCAGACCAGGCGGCAGCAGAGCCATTGGACGGGCCACGTACAGGGGACGTGGGGGAGAGATTGCCAAGTTACAGCGTAGGTCACCGAGCACAACTAAGCCGTTGCCAAGGAGTCGCAGGGCATCTCCGACCTGGTTGAGAAGGTGCTGGTTCTGCTCCCTTTCCTGGGTCTGTGAAAGTACACTATTTTATTAAACTGCTTGTGGAGATTTTAGGCCAAATGTTGGACCTGAAACAAAACAAATACGTATTAGTAACTGATCCAGTGGGGGAGCGGGTCGTCCTTCGATCAAAGGATAGGCGACTCGATGGTCCACTGGTCCTGGTTTTGTGTCCAAGACACATTTTGGAATGATAGCTCTATAGAAAAGATGGTGCATATCTCCAGCGGTTTGTATTTGCCAATCGCTGATGGTTAGTTACCAATTTTTATTTAATGCATGCTATGAAATGACCATCTATATCTCGGTATAGATACATAAAAACAGACTTTCTTGGGAGTATGGAGTGACCCTGATTGAATTGTAGGGGAAACACTGGGTACCATTTAGTTTTCAGTGGCTTGAGCTGTTTGAAGACTTGAAAGGTCCTATAGGGGTACAAGTAACTACCCCAGAACAGTCGGTATGTGGACAAAAAACCTATTCAGGCGGGTGCTGTTGATGGACACTATTTGTCCATTAAAAATGGCAGAGCTGTATCATTTTTCAGCAGCATGTGCATCAGTAAACAAGCTTCATTTGTTCTTATTGGTGATTTTCCCTTCCTTAAGTAGCCGCAGGCCCTCTTACATTGTTGTTGTAGTCTGCTGAGGTGGCTGCCACAAGTATTGAGTGGGTCCTCTCTATGAAGGGCCGTAACCTCTCCTCCACCCTCCTGACCTCAGACAGAACCTCCACCAGCTCTGCTGGACTGGGGTGGCTGAGGACATACAGAACAGGAGGAGACAGAAATAGATCAACCATATGATAAAGAAAGCTGATGGAATGCTGCCATGAAGATTTACAATTACAACATTACAATGTGATTAATTCTGATTTAATAAAATGACAAGAAACATGTTTTCAGATCTCAAATAATGCAAAGAAAACAAGTTCAAATTCATTTTTAAACAACACAACACTAATTGTTTGATAACCTTGCTTTACAATGACAGCTTTCATCGTCCTGGCATGCTCTCCACCAGTCGTTCCCATTGCTGTTGGGTGACTTATGGCATTCCTTCATGCTCCAGCTCAGCTTTGTTTGATGGCTTGTGACCATCCATCTTCCTCTTGATCACATTCCATAGGTTTTCAATGGGATTCAGGTCTGGAGGTTGGCCAGCCCAATACAGGGTCCCGATCTGGGGCATGTAGCAATCTACTGCTGGAAAAAACCCTCCTCAGAGTTAGGTAACTTGTCACAGCAGAAAGAAGCAAGTTTTCTTCCAGGACATCTTCGTAATTTGGTTGATTAGTTCGTCCTTCAAAGACAAATCGGCCGATTCCAGCCTTGCAAAAGCACCCTCAGATCTTTAACTATCCTCCACCACATGGCACAGTGGGCACCAGACTGTGGCTGATAGGCCTCGACTAGACATTAGACGATCAGGTGCTAGGCAAAGCTGAAATTTGCATACATATGGTCCAATCCTTACAATCTGTGGTAACCCTCAGCCTGGCTCTTCTTTGCTTCTCAGGGATGAAGGCCTTGAGCCCCGCCCATAGGAGCACACTTCTTGCCCTGTACTTAACCCCAGCTGCTGATTACATTCTCTTTGCCGGTCAGAATGTCTGACTTACTTGGGCTCGCTGTTGGCTGATTCCTCTGCCTGCGTGGATAATGGAGTAGGAGGGGAGCGGGTGTCCATTAGTTGAGATGCTCCAGTCCCTCTAACTGTGGAGGAAGAGGACTGAGGAAACTCTGGCTGTGAATGGGATCTGCTGTCACTGGACTCTCCCTACAACACATGAACATATCACAATACAATGTGCACTCAGTCTGTTAGGTTGGTTCATGGAATTTGATGCATCTATCTAATAAATGGTAATGGTAAATGGCCTGTACTTGTATAGCGCTTTTCTAGTCTTCTGACCACTCAAAGCGCTTTAACACTACATGACATCATTCATCCATTCACACCCATTCGTACACTGATGACAGGAGAACCACACACAGTGACACCTGCACATCAGTAACTACCATTCACACACTGTAGTCGTAGCTACAGGAGCAATGTTGGGTTAAGTGTCTTGCCCAAGGACACAACAACATGCGGGTTAGCCGGGCCTGGGATCGAACCCACAACCCTCTGATTGGAGGACGACCTGCTCCCCACTCACCCACAGTCGCCCAATAAGCAGGTAAGCTCTACAGCATTGAAGATAAGCCCTGCTTTAACACTAGAAATTATCTTTGTCAAATGAGACAACACATACATGCGCAATACACATAGTTGTTGTAAATGTACCAGTCAACCAGTGGTAATGAACATCCAAAAGTCCAGTTCCAATGCAAACAGACACTGGTAGTAGCTGATAGTAGGACCTTCCATGGGGGCAACAATGTAATAGCTACGTAGTAGTTAGAATATATTAAATGCATTTACTATGCATCTGCAAGTATAGGGGTCACTGCGAGAATATTTCATGGTTTTGCAGTCCATCCATTGTCAAAGCGCTTATCCTGCACGCAGGGGGGCTGGAGTCCATCCCAGCCAACTTTGGGTGATAGACGGGGTACATCCTGGACTGGTCGCCAGCCAATCGCAGGACTAACACAGAGACATACAACTATTCACACTCATATTCACACACCTACTGGCAATTTAGAGTCCCCAATTAACCTGTTCCCCAGAACATGTCTTTGGACTGTGGGAGGAAGCCAGAGAACCCGGAGAGAACCCACGCAGACACGGGGAGAACATGCAGACTCCACACAGAAAGGCCTCTGGATGGAGTCGAACCCAGGACCTTCTTGCTGTGAGGCGACAGTGCTAACCACCACACCACCATGCCGCCCCCATTCAGTCATAAAAACAAATAAACATAATACAAACATAATTTCATGAAAAATGCCATGACCTTCATCTTGAAGTCCCTCTCTGCTGTGTTCTGTAATTAGGGTTTATACAATTTCAGTGTCTCTACCTATGGAAATATGTGGCAGAGCTGCAAATTTAAAAGACATTGTGAAGTGAAAAAACAAATGGGGAAGAGGATATAGGGCGGTCTCTCAGTGTGGGGGATGACCCTCAGACCCCCGTTAGTACGAGCAGGAGGACAACTGAGGGTCCACAAGGGACAGACCTTTGGGTACATTAGGCCAGTACTGTGGAGTGATTAGCAAAAAGGAAAACACTTTGAGTTTACAGTGGTTTTATTATGCTAATGTTTAGCAGGTGGCTGGCTAGATAGCTAATCCGATGTTAACTGTCAACAAATAATAAAACAGGCTTCGGAATAAGTGCTTTATCCATTTTTTGACACAGCAGCAGCAGCCTAACCATGCTAAACCAACTTTTCTATGCAGGGATAGTGTCGTCCCTTCGGGTCCAGTGGCTCCCCGGTCGCCAACTTTCTCGTTTTTTATTGTTGAACGCGGTTAAAAAATTAGCTTACCTTAGTCAATTGCTTAATTTACAATTAAAGTTTGACTGTGCTAATTCGAAAGTAGTGTTTACAATGACGAAGTATAAATCCTGTAGTTAGGGTTAGAGAGATTACTTGTGAGGTCTCAACCCCAGCATGGCGGCAGGAGGCCGCAAGGGGGCGCCGAAGAACGCGTCCTCCGGAGCCAATCACCATAATTCTGAACACCTGCGAGGGAGGATGCGTCCTCTGGAGCCAATCACTGGAATTCGGAACACCCACGAGAGAGGAGACCTATAAGAGCAGTCCGACGCAGCGATCAAAGTGTGAGGTATTGCAAGTACGCTTCTCGGCTGAACCCTTTGTTTCTCTGCCCCTGAATTCCCGTAGAACCAGTGAGCTTCCATGTATCGACCTTCCGCCTTCTCTCGACTACGAATCTGCCTATTCCCTGAATCAGATACGTCTCTTGCCATCCTGTGTCTCTGAACCACTGCCTGTCCCAGGATTCCCAGTACTGCCTTATCCCTTGAGTCTACAGTTGCCTGTCGTCCCAAATTAAACATTGAGAGCTCTGCTCTTGGGTCTGAGCCTGTCTCCTGAGTCCATTCGTTACATTACTTATTTTTCTGTAATGAATATTTACCCAGCTTATTAGCAAACAAACCATGCATACACAAATAACTACATTTTCTATTATTTAAAACAGAAAAAAAAATTAAATACAACTACTGAATAAATAACTAAATATTAACAACAAATAAATAGCTCCAACATACATAACAAAAACACAGGATTAACAGAAATCCTGAAAATAAACTTTAAAATGATGTAACTTCCAAAGTAATATATATTCAAACAGATTTGTTCCCTCAATGTTTAGGTCTCTCGTCTACACACAAAATGAGTCTACGGACACTCATTCTGAAAACGGCTTCACAGGTGAAGGGTTTTAATAAACTGTGGTTACTTCCTTCCCAAGTGGACTCTGACATGCCTGAATAATGTCAAAATAATGTTTTAATCCTCTATTTTAAGGTGAGGTTGAGCGGTAAATCAGTCCATACGAGTCAACAATTTTTCCATAGCACCAAATAAAAGAAAACTAATTGTAGCACTTTAATTATACTTATAACGGCTTTTATCTATAGCAAGTTGTAAATCGGCTTATTTGATTAAATTGCCCTTTCTTGTTTCGTGTTCTTCTGGGTTTGTATCCTTATGGTTGAAATATACTTATGACATGTAACAAATAGGAAATATTTCATAGTGCTTTATTATTTTCCAAAGGAACATACACTTACCAAGCATGCTCCGATGCCTTTCTGTGGTGTTAAAGAGACAGTTGACATAGCCTTTATTGACACTTACTAGCAAGCATTTTGACTAATTTTGTCTTTCTGTCAGTGGCAACATCTCCCCTGCAGAGTGAAGCTAATGCAAAGGTGACCACTAATACATATTTTACATAATTACATATTATACATGGGCTTTAAAAGGCACTTGAAGACCCTTTACATGTTAAAAACAATTAGAACAAAATTGATGACATGAGAAAAAAGAAAATAAAAAATACATTAATGACTTAAAGCAGATTTAAATAGGTTGGTTTGGGGGATTGTTTTAAAAGTGGCGAGTGTCGAAGAATGAATGAGGGGTTCCAGAGTGAGGAGGCAGCGATGGAGAAGGCCCTGTCCCTCTAGGGCGATGCAGGGACTCAGTAGGGTAAGGAGGTTGCCATCGGTGGGTCAGAGGTTGGGAGCGTGTGGATGTAGGAGGTTGGAAAGGTATGATGGAGTGATGTTGTGAAGGGCTTTATATGTAATGAGAATAATCTTGAACTGGATTATGTGCTGTACGGGTGCCCAGTGGAGGTTTTGGAGGACATGGGTGACTTGGATCTGTTGATGCTAATGAATTGTCTGCGGTCGGAGAGGTATGATTTGAACCATTTTACAGTGTCAGTAATGTGGAGGGAAGAATCGAGATAGGAAAGGAGGGTGGAGTAGTCGATGGGGTTGAGGGCTGCACTGAAGTCAAGAAGTATCAGGATGTTGAGGGAGTGGTCATCAGAGGAGATTGTTGATGACTTTTGTAATGGTAAAAATGGAACTGTGTGTTACCGCCATCTTAACCTTGGTTCTTATCTCAACTTTGTTTGCAACTTCTCGTACCTGCCACAAAGGATGGCCTTCACATGTGTGTATAAAAAGTCAGCCTTGTTACTGCTCAGAGACGCCATTTCCTCAGTGATATGTGCTTGTGTATTTGACCTCCTGCTTGCAAGCAATAAATGGACTTTTGCAGCTTTGATCATTCATCAAGACTTTGCTTTTATTAGATAAACATTAAAACAAATCGTTCTCTCAAACTAGTTTTATTGAAATATTCCACAACAATTCGAAGAGGGTAGTTTCTATGCTGTGATGAGATCGGAAACCGTATTGAAATGGTTCATACAGTTAAAATGATGGTCTTAAAACAGACCATAAAGCGGGGGATACTTGAGGGCGTAAAATCGCCAGACTCGCAGCTTCAAAATGACAGAACACAAATCAATGGATGACGTTACAATCACTAAATACACTTCGGTGTACCAATGTGTTTAGTAACAGAAGAGTTGAGTGGACCGTACCTCCAGCCTGTAGATTAGAGCATGAGCGTCTCTCAGCAGGTTCCCTGCCAGCTGCAGCCTCATTCTGGGCTCACTCTGCACCGAATGGTCCAAGTTAATCCGCAAGTCCACCGACCCATTGCTCTGCGAACACAGACATCAGTCAGCTGCACAGGAAGAGGAAGACTGAAGGGTTTAAAGACCGATGAGATGATGACTGGTGAATAATGATTCATTACCCCGGAGCTAGTGCTGACCCTTGAGTTCCTTCCAGCTTCACCGACTCCAGTCCTCATCTGCTGAACAGACATCTACAAAACAAAATGCAGCCATCACAAGGCATGAGATTATTCTTGCCTCTAGAAGATGATGCCGAAGCTTTGGTTTTGACGTAGCAGGGTCATCCCCACCTGGATTTGCTGTTGGTCCATGATGTTGACCGGCAGGTTGAAGGTCCCCAGCATCACATAGCTGTTGCGATCATGCGGTGCACCTTGGGGGGAGGTAGAGGCACGGCTGCTGCTAATGCTGCTTCCACCATCTGGTCCCCTGGTAGAATCATCCACCCCCTCAGCTCCAGAGGTGGTCGCCTGAGGTGGGGCACGCTCTACCAAGTGGATTACCTTCTCATCTACATCTGATGGAGAAACAAAGGAACAGACTTCACACTGTCAAATATGAATATATATTGGAATATCTTAAAATGAATATTTGTAATTTACTAGGGTTCCAGATCAAGGTTGATAGTAAATGTCTTTTAAAATGTCTTAGCAGTATCTCTGGTGATCAATTGCACTTCATATTCTACCAAACTGAGGATCATACTAGAATATCAGCACTAAAAGGACATAGCAGGGTAAAACACAAGCAGTTATTTGGTAACAGCTGATAATGACATAGAAGAAAATAAAAAATACCCAGCTAGACCAGGTAATACAGACACATTCTATATGAAAGAGGGATCCAAAAGGAACATTTAGACAAATCAGCAAACAATATTTCTGGCTTATTAAAACTTCCATTGGCATTTTATCAATTAAAGCCTAGTTTATGCTTCTGCGTTTTCAGAGCGACGCAGACGCTAGACCCCCTTGCGTGTCTTTTCACACCTTCTATGATAAATAAATAAACCAACCAACGACAACAAAGCAAGACTTTTAAGGCTGCCGCATGCTTCTGTGTCGATCCCCTCGTTTCACTTCCTGGTTGTAAAGTCTCGCGTGTGTTGCAGAGCGATTCACCTCCAGAACAACAGGTGGAGTCACGTGTTTTGTTGAAGACGACCTAGAGAGTCACGTCTTTGTGTGTGGTTGGTTGCTTTATTTATTTATCATAGAGTTTATTGCCACGTGCATCGACACTGCTGCTTTTCATCAAGGGCACATTTGTCCCGTATTTTCCTCCACAACTTTGTTCCCCTCGTTTGTGGAGATCTCCCTCCATGAATCAGAGGCCATCCGGCGTCCTTATAGTCCGCCAATGACGGCTTGTAGAAGTGCTCATATTTACGCATTTCTTCCCACAAAAGTTCTTCAATCTGATGCGTTCTCTCGTAAACATTCTTTGTTTTAATAATGGCGGTATTGTGCTATGAAAAGGGAAATGTGAGACTCGTAAAGGACGTAGTTAGCGGACCAATCACAACCTTGTGCGCTGCGGGAGGCTGCGTCGCTTGGGTCGCTTTCCACGGAAGCCTTGAAAAATGGGTCGACGCACGCAAGGAGGTGTGAAAAGCGACGCAAGGGACACGCAAGGGAGTCTTGCGTCTGTGTCCCTCTGAAAACGCAGAAGCATAAACTAGGCTTTAGAACCATGAATTGAAACCAGTGCGTCGACGCAACGACGCAGACGCAGAAGCATGCGCCCGACTTAAGTCTATGTCCTTTAAAGTAAATGTTTTTATTGTGTGTGAGATAGTGACAGACCTTCGAAGAATCAATGCCAGTCTCCATTGACCCCTAAAAGTGTAGGTCTAGTGTTTGAACTATAGTTGAATGAATAACATTTGAACTAATGTGAAGGACTTAAAGAAAACCTAAGGAATATGATTGCACAAGTCTACTTATTTCAAGGTTACGGTTTACCTGGCATGGCACGTATACATAGATGTGGTATCCACACTATCCAGGTGATGCTCACCTTCGGACCAATGCATTTCACTTTGTCTCAGTAGTTGGGAATGCAGACAATGGAGCCGCAACGTGAGCTAAAGTAACCAATATTCTTGTGTGTGTCGATCTTGAAGTGAGGCGGAGGTTATGACCCATCGTGTGAGCATGCTGCAGGTACTCACGGTATTCACTCAGCGGCCGCTCATCCTGCAGCACCCTGCCCTGGTAGATGAGCCTCTGCTTGTCTGCTGGGATCTCCACTGATGATGATATGTGTTCCTTGAACTGCTTCACTGTCAGCTAGTGGCACAACACACAGTTCCATACGTGTCATTGAAACGGGAGGGGGGCAGAGGAGTCGAAGTGAAGCGGTGTTTGAATGAGGATTACCTCGCCTCTGACTTTGTAGCTCCTGCTCTGAGAGTCCAACGTCTTCACGGTGACTTCTATCATACCGCTAGACTCAGCCACACGCCCCAATGTCTGAGATAAAACAGCCTTCAGCCACCAGCAGACCAATAAAGGGTGAAATGACAGGAGAGACGGCTGCAGTGCCTTGTTGATGTTATTAGCTTAGCCAGTCAGCTAACATCAGCCCACCCCGGGTATCGTGCTCAGCAGCCCGGAGATGTCCCCCGCCGCGGACGTCTGTCTCAACCCGACGTCTAGTCTGCTAAACGACACTCCTTGGGAATTACAATCCCAGTTTATGACGGGTTCTGTTAGATTACCAGGTTAGAGTTCCCAAAATGAACCACCGTACTGAACGCAACGTCACAAGACCCCGATGACGTAATCAGAAGCGCCTGTTTGATGCCTGCAAGCTGTCGCTTTTAAAACTGTTCATGTTGGACGTGTTTGTATTCTCCGCTAAATATATGGTTATACCACCAGATAGTACAAGGACTACAACTAGTATTGTTATTACTAGTATTATGATGTCCATGATATTTATAGTATTGCTTTGTATAACTTGTTAACGTTGGCTGTTTTAGCGGAAGAATTTAGAATTCGATGTTTTAAAGTTGGATGTATCTTCCATCGATATCTCTCTGTATTCTTTTCTTCAAACTTATATTCAGAACCCACGCGCGACTGTGTGTGCATGTCCATACATGTGTCTGTGTGTACGTGAGTGTTCCATGCTTGCGCGCTTACGCGCGTGTCTTTGTGTACGTGTGTGTGCGTGTGAGAGAGCGTGTGCACGTGCGCAAAAGCGCTCGTGCCGGTTCCGTGGCTGCCGTGCAGGTAGGCGCTGGTGAAGGTGTGGCAGCAGGGGGCGGCGCAGGCGGGAGAAGGAGACCTGTCCGCACCTCTCACCCTTCACGAGCTGTCCTTTCCTCGCCGGGCTGTGGCAGAGTCGTAGGACGACACAGAGGTTCGCCGAGACCACTACTCGACAAACAGCAGCGGGAGCGTCGCGTGACGCCTCTCCCGAGACCCGAGACCTGAGACCCGAGACCTGAGACCTGAGGTGGGCCGATCCTTCGGGTTGCGTTGCTCGCGATTTCTGGAGGAATCGAACTGCCATCTGCCATGGAGTGGGCTTAATAACCGCTGGACCAACAGGTACACGTAGACGGTGTGTTCTCTCTGAATGTGAAGTGCCTTGGGGGGCTTTAAGTGGATTTGAGGTTTCTTTAAGGGATACAGCGCGGTGGTAGCATTCCGGACCACTTCCTTGTAAACTGACAGGTCTCTTTGGGACAGGAAAGTGAAACACTTTAATCACAAACGCTTTATAATTTATGTTCCCGAACCTCAGCTTTCTCACGGTTCTATCATTTCAATTTCCTTTGAAACATTAAGCCTAATAAATTAATTCCAGTCTTCAAAATATACCCTAATCATATCCTGGGTTATTTATAAGACAAATGCATTCTACCACTAGGAATCAGTCCTGTGCTCGTAAACAGGACACAGAACACAATATAAAAATATATGAATACCCAATGCAGTTTGTTGTTCAGGCTACAGAGATAAAACACCTGTACTCTGACAGTGATAACTGTGACTTTATTAATTCGTATTATTGAGTACAGTGATGTTCTGCACAGACACAAACACATCAGAGGTTTCTCCAGCTGTTACTACAAACAGCAATGGGGGAGAGGTCTCATTTCTCCATTCCTCTCTCCTTGCATGCTTTCCTTGTTTCTCTCCATGCATCCTTGCTAGGAGGCACTAAGACACAAGGAAAAGAAGCAGGTGATTAAACAAGGATGCAATTAAGACACTTTCATTGTGCCCCCAGAAATGGATCTCCGCACTCTTCCTGGAAGTCATCACAATTTCTCGAATGCATCTCATTGAGCACATGTCTAGGAAGCTGTATTCTCAGAAACACAGGTGTTCCCTTGGAAGAAGTGTTTTTCGCCATCCGTAACGAAAAAAAGGTGTGACACACAGCTGGAACAATTTCAAACTATGCGGAACAACTATTGCTTTTGTATTCATAAATCTTAGGTTCCTTCAAGACACAACCTCTATTACTTATGGTTTTATATAAATGTATGACTTTTTAACATTAAATAATGTGACTAATACTCTAAGGCACAAATTGGACTTGACCTTTCTCATAAAATTATGTTCATGCTATAGACTTATAGCCAAAGTTATGAAATAATAAGCCAGTATTATGTATAATTTGAACCAACTAAGACGATATATTTGTCAAAATATTTGACCTTGTATCATATCATCTTATTCAGCCCTGTGTCAGATCTAAAATATTCTACAATGATGGTTATTTATTTATTCCAAGTGTATATATGAATCTATCTAATCGTCACAGTGACGTTGTTCTTATGTGCAGGAATTCATTCATTCTCTGATGCCATGTTTCTGATTGTCCAATTTTCCCATCCACGATCCTCTCTGCTTTATTTAGCAGGCTTTAGCTCCCATCTCTTCCCAACTCTTTCTCCTCATCTCTGGCCTGTACTTGCCTTTTTCCTTTCCTCTTCCCCTACCTCTTTGAGAGCTACCATGCGCAGATTCAGCTCAGAGGGATCCCTCCTGGATCTGGATTTCCTCCCATGGAAGAGGATGGTACTGAAGAGCTCCGATCCTGGGAAGAACCGGGAGTCGGGAACCTACACATCTCACACGGAGGAAGACGAGCTGGGTGGCAGCTCGACCCACCCAGTCCCCATCATCCGGGAGCCTAGAGCCAGTCCTGGCGGGGCGAGGAGGAAGGAGCTGAACAAGGAGCACAGCGTCAGCGCGGAGAACCTCAGCGAGCTGGAGAAACTGGGCAAGAGCCACCTGGGAGTGTGTATGATTGGTGAAGGCTGCAGGGCCTACAGTGATGGCCAGCTGGCCCCGCCTGCCCAGGGCAGCACGGACAGCATGGAGAGAGAAGATCTGCATCCCTCGTCTCCTTCTTATTCCTCCAACCCCTTCAGATTCCAGAACAGGCAACAACGTAAACCCAAACTGTCCACTGCTAAACTGCACCTCAGGAGTCTGTTCGGGCAGGTGGGCTGATCACTTCAGTGTTTTTGTGTTGAAATATGGATTGTAGATGCTTTAGATTGAGCTCTATACAACTCTACTTGCTGATGACAACCATGTGAAGTGGTTTGAAGTGAGTTATTAAAGATGACAATTATTTTCACAAAAACCTTTAACTTGTCTAGTCTGCTTATTCTCATTTGGAGAAATGAACCCAGTGCTATGTAGTGGTGGACCTCTTTAAAGCTGCTTCATTGGGCACCCATACAAGATACACCCTTAACCTTTTTTTCTGGTTTCAGAGTCCTCATTCCTCCAACTCCAACCTGTCCAACACAGAACAAATAGACAGGTGAGAATCATACGTGTTGCTCCTTGGTTTAAAGTTCTTAAAATAATTGTATTGTTAAACCTTACCCTCATGAGGGTGTTGTGAAGCGACACATGATCACAGTACTGCTTGGTATGAACTCTGACTGAGGTCTCCTGCCCTTGACTGTCCTTGGGTTGTCCTGGTCCACAGCCCCACAGAGAGGAGGTCTCGGCTGCTCTTCATGCGTCAGTGGAGTCAGATGGGACACAGTAAGAAAAGGAAGCTCAGTCAAGAAGAACTGGAGACATGGGCAGAGTCCCTGAATGCCTTGCTGCTCAGCCAGAGTAAGTCCTGCTCCGTCCATCATTCACCTATACACAGGTGCTACCTGCCCACATTCTCACACTAAAGGCACAGCCTTCGTCTGCCAGAGTCGTCCACATGCCGATTGAGAAGCTGGTCTTCATTAGAGACGACACCGTTACCCTAAAAAACCCAAGAAATGGATACATTCACTTGTGTGGACCCAAGCTAAGTTATAGAGCCAGATGGAAGTGGATTGGTTGATATTTTTATCCTAAATGTCACGTGTGTGTAGTCCTATACTGGACCCGATCCCGTTCTGCCCATAAGGTCTGATCACACAAAGTCAGAGGTGCTTAACCAATCACTACGGCCACTTACCCGTTGCCCACAGCGCACAGGCCGGGATCACGTGATTGCAAGCGCACAAATCGACTTTGCTGCGGCAACCAGAAAGTAGGCATGAAGCGGACAACAATGAACAAGTTGTGTGTCTTGTTGATGTGGGAGGTCAGAGGAGAATGGGCAGACTGTATCAAGATGTTACAAAGGCAACAGGAACTCAAATAACCACTCAATAAAAGCATGCAATGCGTACACCATCTCTGAATGCACAACACGTAGAACCTTGAAGAAGGTGGGCTACAGCAGCAGAAGTCCACACTGGGTGCCACTCCTGTCAGCTAACAGGGAACTGAGACTACAGTTTGCACAGGCTCACCAAAATTGGACAATAGAAGATTGGAAAAACGTTGCCTGGTCTGATGAGTCTCATTTGAGCTGCGACATTCAGATGGTGGGGTCAGAATCTGGCGTAAACAACATGAAAGCATGGATCCATCCTGCCTTGTATCAACGGTTCAGGCTGGTGGTGGTGGTGCAATGGTATTTTCTTGGCACACTTAGTATCTCCCCCTTAGTAGCAATTGAGCATGGTTCATATCATCTCAAACTGGTTTCTTGAACATGACAATGAGTTCACTGTACTGCAAAGGCCTCCACAGTCACCACATCTCGATCCATTAGAGCAACTTTGGGATGTGGTGAAATGGGAGATTCACATCATAGATGTGCAGCCGACAAATCTGCAGCAACTGCGTGATGCTATCATGTCAATATGGACCTTCTCTGAGGAATGTTTCCAGCCCCTTGTTTAAAGTATGCCACAAAGAATTAAGGCAGCTCTGAAGGCAAAAGGGAGTCCCAACCTTTTACAAGCAAGGTGTACCTGATAAAGTGGCCGGTGAGTTGTATGTTTGAAACGATTTACTATACTTTGTCCCCCCCACACATCACATCACCCAAACACATAGATATCCCTGCCTCGCCTTCAACATGACCCTATTTGAACAGATGTAACCTCTTCTATCAGACGTTTAACCATGCCATTCACACTCATCAGAAACATTCTTGATAACGCTTACCTTGGGAACATGTTGGTAAAACTAAAGGCCTACTCTGTCTCATGTCACATGTTGCTGCAGGGATGTTGACATCAGAGCTGAATTCACTGGCTACTGTGTGCTGTGCAATAAAGCTAAAACAGCAGCACTTTACCTGCTGCCTCTATGAATAGAACATCTCGTAAACAGAGACTCTCCAGCTAGACTGGTAGACCTAGCACTACATTCATGTATGTTGTGATCACACAGTACGCTATGCTCCATGAACTAAATTGAGGCATATATATTTTTGACAATAATGCCACTGAGGTTGGGTGACAGTTGTTCGCAGCAGCTGTGGCCGGCTGGAAAGAGCAGACTTATTGTATCAGACATTTAATTACTGACACAGTGCTGTGAAGATGGATCTGGCTATGTGAGACTATATCAGCATGTATGCTAGCTGATTGATCTTCTAAAGAAGTTGAGGAGGTCATCTCTATCTCTGGCTGAGCGCTTTTGAATTTGAGATTGCATAAATGACAGCACATAATATGGAATAAATTAATGCCATATAGCACATTATGTGGAATAAATAAATGTCATATAGCACATAATATGGAATAACTGCAATTTGCTGGTTTTGAACAATTTCTCACATAGAAACAACAGACGTTATAGAGTAACATCGTTATAAGTTACCTCCATTAGCTAAGATTAGCCACCATTAGCTACTTGTTCGCACCAGATTTCTTCTGTTAAGGACTTTTACTTTTTCTAATGTTTTGTTTTTCTTGTATTTATTTAAATGATGGCGACTTGACGGTAAATTGTTGCCTTCACGGCCAGAAATGTAAAATCTATTCTATCTGGTTAAATAAAGTGAAATGAAATAACAAATAATACATACCAAAAAATCCAAATGATTTTGTAGCAGTAAAAAGTGTGCTTGATTGCACCAGCCATCTTTTATAGTTTATAATTCGTACTAATAAATTGTTTCAGGAAGAATTTGTTTGAAAATGTTCTGTGAGGATGAATATGAAATTAACTTTCTCCCCCATGTTTATTCACATGTTTATTTATATGAATCATTCAATCTTCTCTGGAGCTTAGATGTACAGAGTTGATTGGTGTGCTTTAATAACACGGTCAGTTGTTGGTACGTCTTTGCTCAACTGTACTAAACAAACACACACACACATAAACAAACTCACACACAGCCTGGGGGCTAGCTTCAGCTCTCTGTGTGACTTGGCCTGCTTATCAGTGCTATGCTAATTTGGAGTGCAGTCCTGTAGCTGACACATGTGAACTGTGACATGTGACACTGTCAGCAGTTTGAAGAGCCTGTACAGAGAAGTCAGTCCCATTTCATACCTTAACTGTATGTGTGTCTTTCTGTCTGTGTCTGCACGTCTGTGAGTCTGTATATGTGTGTCTGCACGTCTGTGTGTCTGTCTCTCTGTGTGTGTGTGTGTGTGTGTGTGTGTGTGTGTGTGTGTGTGTGTGTGTGTGTGTGTGTGTGTGTGTGTGTGTGTGTGTGTGTGTGTGTACGCTGAGGCTTTATTTTGAAGATGGGAAGCGTTGCTGTTTGAGATGTGCTTAAAAGGCCCGAGGGATTGAGTGTCCTCTTACAAGCTGCCTCCTCCTCCTCCCAGCTGGCGTGTCAGTGTTTGGAGCATTCCTGCGTTCTGAGTTCAGTGAGGAGAACCTGCAGTTCTATCTGGCCTGTGAGCAGTACCGAAACTCGTCAAACAACTTCAGCCTGCAGAGGAGAGCCAAAGACATCTGTGCCACCTACATCCAGGCAGGCGCCCCCCGGGAGGTACAGCCCCCTTTGATCTTCCATTCAGCTGCAAACAGGAAGTGTAACTCAAGTCCTTCACAAGTCTGTACTTGTCTTCTTTGCACTTCCCTCCAAACAATGTGCTCTGTGTGTTTTGGATGCTCCTTGTGTTTTGAAGGCTTTTGTGGGCGTAACGGGTTTGAAATCATAGCGTCATCAATAGCTGATGTCATGTGATAATTTACAAACTAGCATATCTATCCCTTTAAAGAGAACCAACTTTATGAGTTGTAATGAGATATAAAAATGGTGCAGCTCCATTCAGTTACTTCACTCACTGATCAAAATATTAAAAAAGAGTAATTGATTGAAGTGTGTGTGTCTCTGTGTTCTGCTGTAGGTGAACCTGGACAGTAAAACCAGGGATCTGACCATCCAGCTGCTGCAGGCTCCCTCTCACGCCTCTCTGAGCCAGGCACAGAAACGCATCTACTCACTGCTGGACACAGACTGTTATCCCCGCTTCCTCCAGTCCGAGGTCTACTTGTCCTTACTGCGAGACGCCGACTAGACCCCACTCAGCAGGAGGGCCACGAGCTTCCAGCAAAGCCTTAACACTGTAAACCTAAATGTATCTTCAAACCATAGAGCTGCTGTGTAGTTTGTGATGTTCATCCGACAATATATGAGTCAGTTAAACAAGTATAATCTTTCTTTTGGAGAGTGAGATGTTCAGATGACTTTTAGTATTTCGTGCCTCTTGTTTCCCCCTTGCGCCCCTGTCTTATTGCCATGGCTACCAAACACTGACACCACTTGTGCACTTATACAGACATGCGATTAATAAATAAAGAGATAATAAATAGGATAAGCTAATTTACCCAATTGTTAATTTATTCTTATGTTTGGCTTCTTATTGGCACCAAGAATGTGGAAAAACATGAGTGAACTTATTTTTGTTCCCTTGGAGTGAGCTGTGTGAAAGTTCACAGCTATCATTTTAATCATTAGACAGCAAATGTTCACATGGTCTAATAGGCCCGGTCTGAGAGGAAAAACAAGCTCAGCAAGAACGAGCGCTTTCCTGGAAAAGGTCAAAGTACAACGTGACTTATGGCACAGCTGAGAACCTGAGCCTGACTGCGTGGGCAAACAAAGGCAGACACCGCCTCAGGAAAAATAATTTATATGATATGACTACCATATTATAAATATCATCCGAGCCGCGTTCCTCTCCAACGTCCCCGACAGTAGGTAGCATCCGCGCCCTGCCGGCCGTATCGTCCGCTCTGGCCTCGGGTATCACTTGCGATCAGTAGCCATGCTGCAGCGCTATCAATATAGATATCAATGAGGATTAGGTCTGTTTTAGAGACTGGCTGATTTACGGTTGCAATCCAACATATTCCACCTCTGGGAACTCTATAATGATCCTTCATTTGCTTCAGCTATGATGCATATCCAGTGCCTTGCATAAGAATTACCCCACTTGGGACTTGGTCCCACATCTGGACATGGAAATGTTAGTCCATTCTTCTTGGCAAAAAAGATGAAGCTTAGTCAGATTGGAAGGTGAAGAACAATTTCAAAATCTTGCCAAATCTGGTCTGGGCTTTGACTGGGCCATTAAAACACAAACATACTTTGATCTAAACCATTCTATCGTAGCTGTATGTTTAAGGTCCTGCTGGAAGATGAACATTCAGCCCAGTCCAAGTCTTTTGCAGAATGCCTCACATTTTCTTCAAGGATTGCCCTGTATTTGGCTCCATCTACCTTTCCCTCAGTTCTCACTAGTTTCCCTTCACTTGCTAAAGAGAAGCATGATCACAGAATGATGCTACCACCACCATGTGTCCCTCTTGGCATGGTGTACTCAGGGTGATGGGCAGTGTTGGGTTTCCACCACACAGCATTTTGCAATAAGGCCAAAAAGTTCCATATGTCTCATCTGACCAGAGCATCTTCTTCCACATGTTTGCTGTGTCTCCCATATGGCTTGTGGCAAACACCAAAATAGATTTCTTTTGTTTTAATTCAACCGTGGCTTTCTTCTTGTCACTCTTCCATAAATACGTGATTTGTGGAGTACACGGCTAATAGTTGTCCTGTGGACAGATTCTCCACCTCAACTGTACTCTCCACCACAAAGAACGCCAAAATTTGACTACAATATGTCTGGCGGAATTTGCATAAGACTTCAGTCTGCGGACCAAACTGGAGTGGGGGGCCAGCAATATGTCGGGCGTGCGAAACGTAAGGCTTACGATCAGAATACCATCCTCATGGTCAAGCACATCGAGGGGGGGTTCATTGATGATGTGGGGCATCTTGAACTGGCAATATTGATTGTCTACCTGGCATCATGGATTCCCATCAGAAAGCCATTGTAAAGCAGAACGTGATCCAGATTACTAATGTCTTCTGATTGCAACTGTTCGCAATACACACATGTAGCAAGGATTTGATTTGTTCATACTGTACAGACGGGCCACTGTTCAATACAATCTTACAACACCATATATTATTCTTTATCATCCTTAGTTCTGTGGAGGATGTTTATTTGAGGTGAAAGCTTGTTCATGTGGCAAAGCAACCTACCATTGGCCCTGGTGTCTAACAAAGACGCTGGGAAAAAATTCACCTGGGCTTTTAGGAGAGAGCGAATATTTTCTGTTTTGATTTTTCTCAAGTTTATTATGTCTGTTGTTTTGTTTGGTTCTGTTTTAAGGTAAATTGCAAATTCAAACCTACCAGATTTATTTGTATTATCTTAAACTTGTTTTAGTGGTTTTTGTTTGACTTAATTATATGTTTTTTAATAAAACCTTTGTCAATTACTACAAACATTATTTCACCGCCTCATCTGCATGCCTTGGGTACCTTACTGAAACTGTTCAACTAGTATTTCCTGGGGTGTTGTTGGTTACATTCAGTTTAGTGGTCTGTAGTTCATAGTTCATTCTCGGTTTGTGCGTTGAATATCACCATCTATCCATCTACAAACCGCTTATCTTGCACACAGGGTCGCGGAGAGGCTGGAGTCTATCACAGCCAACTTCGGGGGAGAGACAGGGTAGACCTTGGACTGGTCGCTAGCCAATCACAGGGCTACACAGAGACAAACAACCGTTCACACACACACACACCTACAGACAATTCAGAGTCACCAATTAGCCTGATCCCCAGAGCATCTCTCTGGACTGTGGGAGGAAGCCAGAGTACCTGGAGAGAACCCACGCAGAAAGACCACTGGGCGGAGTCAAACCCAGGACCTTCTTGCTGTGAGGCGACTGTGCTAACCACCACGCCACCGTGCCGCCCACTGAATATCACCAGGTCGCATTAACTAGAAGCATTCATCTGCAGCATGGTCAGCTACCAGTTAGCAGAAGACATCCCAGGATGAACTGCTCCCACGCTGTCGCCCTGATGTTGCTAGCCTTTTCACAACCTTGTGGAAATGGGGGTGCCACCTACCTTTGTTATATTCTTTTTTAGTCTTTCTGCTGATCTGGTTCTCGTAACACTTAATTTTCTTCTTGAAAGACTTTAAATGTTGCTGTATTCACCAAAAAATGATGGAAGCGTTTTGTTAGAAATGGAAAAACAGCTAGGTAGGATGGGAGCCAGAGCCTTCAGTTATCAAGCTCCTCTTTGATATTGCTTAGTTAGGGCCTGGCTCAGGTTAGCCTGACCAGCCCTTAGCCCTGCTATAGGCCTAGACTGCTGGGGACTTCTTAGGACACACCGAGCTCCTCTCTCACTCTCTCCTTCTACAATAATTCACATCTCATTAATGCACATCACTAATTCAGCTCCTTCCCCGGGGTTTTTGTGCTTTCTCGCCTCGCAGGTCTCTGTAGATTGTAGTTCCGCCTGGACCCTGGTCCTGACCCCTGCCTGGCCCCGCGGCACCTACCGCTTATAACACCATTAATATTCCAATTTCTATTACTGTCAACATTAATGTGCATTGCTAAATTTGTTTCTTCCCTGAAGTATTTGTGCTTTTTCACCTCATAGGTTTACATGGATCATGGTTCTATGGACCCTGTTCCTGCCTCTTACCGTGGCCCAGCTTAACTACTGCCTGCTGCCATCATCATCATCATTATTATTATTATTATTTTAAATTTTAATCACATTACTATTACTGTCATCATAAACTTTTACTTTGCAATTTCCCTCCCCACAGGCATCTGTGGATGATGGTTCTATCTGATGGTGGTTGTCCCTGCAGTGGTCCTGCCGTACACCTGGCTTACTACTCGCAATATTTGAATCATTTCTGTCATAGGAATTGAATGTATTGTACGTCTTGTAAATTGTTTATTATGTACACATGACAACTATTAGTCTATAGTCTGTTCATCCTGGGAGAGGGACCTCTCCATGGGGAAAAAGGGGAAGAAACCTTAGGGAGAACGACGTTCCCCCTAACGACGTTCTCCGTTTTCATTTTTTGATCACTCACTTGGTATATTCATCTATACCATCTTCACCAATGAACAGCTCCTGTATTTGTTTCTCTTTTGAAGCGTGAACAGTTTTAGGCTATTAAGGAAGCCCACCGTGGTCACATGACTTCAAGTCTCCACCACTCAGCTAGAGAAGGAACAGTGTTTTATCACCTCATGTAGTTCTTGGTTTTAGGAGTTTGAAAGTTCACCCCATTGGTGCTCCTGAACACAGTTTCTGCTCCAGCACATATTTGTGTTCTGATGGCAATGACTGGTTCCAGAAAACAACAGAGTTACATTTTTTAGCATTTGACTAAAAGAACTGGCTCCTGGTCACCAGGGCCGGGAGCTCCTGTGTCCCTGCTTCTGCTTCACCCACTGGGAGGTGTAGCAGTTCTCTCCTACAGCCCAGGACCAGCCGCATGCGCCTCTGTTACTCTCCTTCTCCAACGCGTGTCTCGGGCGGACCAGCATGCCTGGTGCTGGACACTGAGGACAGGCAACCGCCCTGAGCTCCCCCTCAGCACTTGAATCCAGAAGCCCTTGTGTGCCTTCTAGAGAGGTCTGCCTGTGGAGGTCAGCAGAAGACATATTTCACTGCATGTCAACCCTATGTGAAGACCTGAGCCACTCAAACGCACTGTAGCGAGCAACTCCACACGCAATGTCCTCCTACTTGAAAAAATAAAGTTCATTTGAATGTGCCTTTCAGAAAGACTCACATTACCAACTTGCATGTGACAACTCAAGGTTTGAAATAGTTTACATCATGACATCTCATCCTTATTGCATTAAAAAGTGATAAAGGGCAAGGACTTAGAGTTATTGTTAAAAGAAGTACTTGTGCTGTGCTCAACTACTTTCTTCTTGTTGGCGAGGAACACATAACATCCCATGAGTAGGGCCTCAGTGGGAGGTCTGTGTGTGAGTCACTTCTCTACCGATCCACTGGAACGTTTCCATGTATCATTAGCTTTGATGCGTTTCAACCACAAACGTCTTCGAGAGAGTCACTACTCTTCCTCATTGCTACTTTCTCGGTATGTCCGAGTGTCTAGTCAAGTGGTGTAAATACCTGCTTCCTGTCGTGTGACTACCGGCCGACCTGTGTGTGTCTGTGTATCCCAGTGCGACCCCACACTGATCCTGCCCTGGTCTCAGACCCGAGGAGGCACAAGGCACTTCCACATGAGCAGGGCTTGTTGACTGTGCTGCTCCTGTCCTCACTCACTCATCAAGGCTTTCGGTATACACCACATGCAAACCTGACATTAGGGCTGCAACATGAATCGATAAAACTCAATAGGATTTGATTAAGAGTTGCCAACGAATTTCATCATCGATTTGTTATGTAGCGTGGTTGTTTACGCCCCACAATACGTCCCTGACATGTTGGGAGTATAAAAAAGAAAAGTTGAGTTGGGTCTGAGAGTAGAGTAGCAGTATTTTTTATAAATGGCAGCTTAAGACCTTTTAAATAAAAAAATATACATCTTTATGTGCAAACAAAGCTTATATGTGTTAGTCGTTATTTATATTATTAAAACCTCTTGTACATTACTGTTTTGGTCCTCAAGACACCCCCAGACAATCAGTATGATTCATATAACTGTTGTTAATAGAGCTTGGTATTTTTACACTAATATATACATTACATTACATTACAGGTCATTAATTTGGATCTATTCTTTACCAAATAATCACAATACTTTTGTACTGAAATGTGGACACTTTGACCGTTTAATATCAATGAGCAGTGTGACCCCTGGTTTGAACATTCTCACCTGACCGTACCTGGTAAGGGTCTGTCCAGCAGTCCAGCAGCTCTGCTGTCCATGTGCCGACTGTACAGGCTGCTCCTGGCAACCATACCCAGTGTGCTACCAAAGAGATGAAGAAAAAGAGAGGACAGGGGTACAAAAGCGATGGACGTGCAGTCAAGGGACAGTTTGGGACAGACAAAAGGTAAGAAAAAAAAGGGACACGATTACAAAACTGATCAAAACCCAAATATAACAAAACACAGATAAAAGTGTAAATACACACACACATGGTGTACGTTAAAGGTTATGATAAATAAAAAGCCACAGAATGGAAAGCAGACAATTGTTTGGTTCATGATGTGTGTGACAGAAGGCAAGCTCACATGTTGAGTTCAGTGGAAGATACTTTAATGGGTAGAGGGGCAGAGACTGCTGCGTGCATCACCACGTTGTTTAAAAAAGGAGTCCCAGACAGACTCTCCTTCTTCACCAGTGCGCTTACAGGCCCAATAGTGGATACTGGTACATGTGAACACCGTACCCAGAAGTCTGGACATTATTTGTTTTCACAGAACATAGTAGCCGAGATGGGGAAAACTGGTATACTGGGATATTACGACCCTGGATATTAATGTTCCTTATTCAGAAACCGATAGGACACCGGTGCAGATGTTAACACAGCCGTTCCTTTAAGGGGAAGATGGGTCAATGGAAGCCAAGATGAGATCTATTAAGGGAACTATAGACAGTGAGAGAAGGAGGCGGTGTACATTAAAAGATGAATGGAGTGGAATGGGAGAAGAAATGAAGGGGAAGCAAAGAGAGAGACAGAGGCAGTGTTTAGCAAGACCTGGTGGAGCAGAACTGAAGATTCAGAAAAATGGCTGCTGGACACAATGACAGACTAGAAGGAACATAGCCTCCCTCAGGGACAGCAGCCTTAATAAATACTATGTATCAGAAAAGAAGGAGACATGCAAGCAGCTGGATCAGAGTTCACATCCAGCCGGCCACCATCATGTGGAGCCCCACATCCTTCTCTACTAATCACTCTTTAAATGAATGCAACTGAAAGACGTACATGGCAATTCATGAATGTAAGACATTCGAGGGACGCATGTGATTCCACGTAAGGGCCATAAGCATTTGGACTGTGACAGTTTTTCAAAATGCCTCTTTACACAAGTCCAAACGATTAGAACCAAAGCAGTCACTATTTGGCTGAATATTTGGCTTTGACTTTCAGCTTTGATTCAATAACAACTCAAACTGAAACAAAAACAACTGTCACAATCATCTTTAAGAGGCATTTTCAGAGGCTCAGAAGTCAAACATATTTTTCAACATAATGATTTATTTTAATAATCTTTGTGTTCCAGGCTCACGTGTGATCAATCCCAGTAGACACTCAACAGAATATTTGGCATATACAGATGACCTGATTTCCCCCCATATGTCTGTGTGGGTCTCCGAAGAATTATATAATAACATTCTATGCCCGTCAGTGGAGTAAGAGTGTTGTCTCCATTGGTCACTTAGATAAGCAACTTGAATGTGTCACATGTACATTTCCACTCTACAGTGTTTCTTAAAGACGACATATTTTATCTTGAAGACAAAACCTGGTGAAAAAGCTCTGGACGTTTCCTACCTGCTGCGTCTTGCTCTGCAGCGCTCGATGAGAGGCGACTGTGGGCTCGGGTCCCTGCTGCCCCCAGGGGCCGAGGCCGGGAAGGTACGAGGGAGCCCCCTGCTGGGGGAGGATCCCACGCTGAGGGAGTGGGAGCACCGGGAGGATACCGACCGCTGGGGGGAGTGAGGAGGAGCGAACGGCCAGGGACGAGCCAACTGCTCCCGAAGCACCACTGAACAGGAAGCAGAAGAGAGGTGTGAGTGCTCACAGAAAGAGATGAACCCTGAGCAACATCTGTAATACAGCACTGCTGCTGCAGCCTAGTCAAAGCTAATCGTTTTAGAGGGGAAATGACACGTAATACTATATTGCTGTTTTTTATAGTGAGATATTTTCTCACGTTTCATACAAACTTATGACAATATTCACATGTTAAGTCCTATTAGGACTAAAACAGGTGACGCTATTTTTAGGTTGAACATTTATCAGTTTGAATTGTCTCTTGGTTCGTCTGTGTCATATTTAATGCAACTTTATTTAGAGATTAACTGTTAACTGTTGGTTTGTTAGACCTCGGCTGAATGTACTCCCTGTTTGAATGATACCTCTGATCTATCCATCTATATCTCTGCCATAAGAGGAGCACACACAAAGCAGCTTCAACGCAATCTAATACTGTTTTTCATCAAATAAAAACTGTCCTCTTTAAATAGAAACAGGACAGAATACATATGCATACATCATATGTCAGTGTGCAGCTGTTCACCTTCTCTCTCCATTAAAGAGTACGGCTTGATATCTCCGTTCGGCTTTCTGAGGGGAACCTTTCTCAACTGGGCCGCTGTGGAGGAGAACACATTCAGAACATGATGGTAGATATATATGAAGGGTAGATGTCTTACGGCGGAATCTAGAAAATCCGCACGTGGCCGCCATCTTGCCACATTCAGCTGGCTCACCCATAACATTGTGTTGGTAGTAGTACATGTACGTTTGTTATAAACGTTATGACACTGCATACTTATGAATACTGTTCTGTTTAATGTTATTTTCATATGAAAACCCATGGTTATAATTATTCATAAGTATGCAGTGTCATAAATACATCTCTGAACAGAGTGTGGATTTCAACATGCATTTCTTGAAGTATATACCTATTTTAGAACATAACATAATCATTCAAACCAAACCATTTAAAAATTGAGCAAGTTATGGTTATTTTAAAAGTACATGTACCACTACCAACACAATGTTATGGGTGAGTGAACCGCTTGTGGCAAGATGGCCGTCATGTGCGGACGTTGGACTCCGCGGACGAGACATCTAGTCATATATATATATATATATATATATATATATATATATATATATATATGGATGGGGTCACCGCCCCCCCCCCCATCTATCATACCCCACCCCCCACAGTGACTGTAGTAGTTTAACATAACAAGGCCCCCACGCATAAAGATGCTGTTTTATTAATCCTTACAGAATTACTGAGGTGCATTTGATACAAATGAACAAAGGGTTCACGTTTCTGGCAGCCTCCATCTGCCACCAGCCATATTGTTCTGTTCAGAGATGCTTCTTGTTTCCTTCCAGGATATTGGTTTCTTATTATTGTTGGAGAAGAACATGCATTATACCAACAACACTATTAACCTGAGACGGCATGCAGGTGAGAGTTGTCATTATGAAATAATAATGTTTTACTAGTTTACCCTTTAAAAATTAAAGAAAAACACACTCATACTAATCTAATTTGAATGTAATTTCCTTTACAAGAGACGTAATGTTCAAGTTTGCACATTATCAAGTGAACTGTGGCCTCCTCTAAACTCCTGGTACGCCACGTGGTAAAGCAGGTACCTCGCCTCCTCACAAACAAATAAACAAACAAACAGAGAGCGAGAAAGAGAGCTTTCCTGGATTTAGCATCAAATGATGCAAAACAGTCATGCAGAAATCTGTAACAACGCAGAACAATGCAGAACGCAGAAAGTGCAACTTGATATTATTACATTACAAGCCAAACATCTCGATAAGTACAAGTTAAACCAATATAGTGTTCTTTGGTCTTCACTGGTCCTTTAGAGGGATAAAGAGAGGAGACCAGTAGTCCACAAAGCCCTGTATGAGCAGCAGGACAGGGAGAGCAGACAAGGGCAGACGTTACAGCCAACAAGTTGGAAAGATAAAAGTAGAAGTTGGTGAGCCTTTTATATTCTGTCCTATTTCCTGCTTCAGAAAGAAGCTTTACCCTGCAAACCAGTGGGGTGTCTGTTTCCACGGGGACTGTTGAGGCCAACTGTACCGTTGGCCTGGTTTTGTAGCCTGCAAGCTGCAGGTAGAACCATCTGTACTTTGTGTGTATGAAGAGCAACCCTTCCTGATTTATGCAATCAAGCAATCCGGTCTTTAAGAGGCTACAAATCTTCTTAACATGCTCTTGCAGTTTAAGGAATCACATTTGGCAGTGACATACAGAGCATTGAAAAGCCATTTGGAAGGTCAGGGACGGGGATTGTGGGGGTCTGAGTTTGTCTACAGCTTGTGGCTTTACACACTCTAGCACATGACATATATTACACCTGCTGAGGAACTAACTGAGACCGAGAGCTTCGTATATATAGTATGGGCTTAATTATGGGACAAAGGGAGGGGGACGTATGAGGAAAGAAAATATTTGAAAGTCCTTACAAACAGCCGAAGAGGCCCTGATCCATCAGAGGAGAGGAGGGCGAGCCTGGGAGAGTTTGGTAAAACAAAACATCTTGGAACTGGAATAAAAGCAGATCAGCAGTCCCGGGACTCCCAGAATCTCTAATGAGGGGACTTTTGTCTTCCACATTGACAGCAAAAAAGATGAACTGATTTTGATGCCAAAAGCAAGAATACACTGTAAAGATGTAGCACGCAACATATGTGATGTAACTGAACTTAACAACAGGTATTCATAGATATATTGAACATGCTTGTTATGGCATTGAGAAGCTTCTCCAAAACAAAACTGAACAATTTCCAAGGAAGCCAATCAAACACAGGTTCAGCTGGTAGGGATGTCCCCTTAGAACCCATGTAACAGACCTCAATACTCGTATTACCACAGAGGCTATTACATCACACCTTTCTTCAAAACAGTGCAGAGGTTACCTGGTCTGTTGAGGAAGAAGCCTTCAAACACCACAAAGTTGTTGGCCTGGAAGATAAAAAAAAAGAGAGGCAAGGTGCTCATGATGAACATGTCGGCGAGGACTGTTTTCTCAGAATAACGCAGGGTACAATAATAAGCAGGTGGTGGTTCTATTCTCTCCGTCTTTTATCCTGGGAATTGGTCTTGAATCACATATATTTTGTTAATCGATTATTAAAAGATTATTTTTGAAACCATGGAAATGCCAGTTGGTTGTTAAACGGTTTATATGAGACTGAAGGTAGTCACTCTCTCTGGGAAGCTGAGATGCCTGTGGATGTATAAACTCACGGAAACAACATACTTACGGTTGGATAACAAAAAAAGAAAATGGAGAAGACGGGGGTACACCCTGGATTGGCTGCCAGTCAATCACAGAGCTTGACACAGAGACACACAGCCATTCACACACCTATAGACGAGTCACCAGTGAATCCATCCTGCATGTTTGTGGGAGGAAGCCGGAGAACCCAGAGAGAAGCCAGAGAGAACATGCAGACTCCACACACTGAGAGGCTCCAGCCTTTCGTTTGCAATGTGGTAAGCTGTCTCGACATTTAAAATGAATACCTCATACGTGTAACTTATGGCCAAATAGTGTCATCACCACTTAGGGAGACATTAGGGAGATTTGGTTTACCGTTTTGTTTACTACTTCGGGACCTAAGTGGCCGCTAAGAAAATCCCTAACAAACCCTTAAGTCCTCATGATCATCAACATTCTGCATTGTAATTAAAGGATGTTAGAATCTTTTGAGATGGTATGTTGTTGTCTGGGTTACCATCCTTTTTGAGGCAAACAGTAAATGTTTAACTTGTATTGTTAGAAAAATCATACTCAACACCGATGTAGAATCATTAGATATTTATTGCTGCTTAATGGTCTGCCTCCTGTCTGAAATATTATAAATTTATAAAGTTGAGATAATATACACAAGTTATGCAACAAGGCGTCTCTGCTGAGGGGTCGCAGACTATATGGCATTATCAACTACTGTGACTAAGACAAAAGAGTATTTGGTTTTTCCAACATGAATAAACTGAAAGATTAATGGAGCTCAGATTAAAACATGTTATCTATCTTTTAACGCCTTGGATTGCCAATACTATGGCTAGGTCCTGTGCTCATCCAGCGAAAGAGCAGACTGTACCTGAGGAACACTTGGTGTTAGACTGTAATGCTTCGCCAGGAAAGACTGGAACTTGGGAGAGGGCCGGTCGTAGGCCATCACAACTGGCTCTAAATTCTTGTGCTGCAGAAGAGGAAACAGGCGGTCACCGATAATCATCACTATGTGTACAGCAGGTATTACATTATTTACGTTTCAATTTCTCTGCATGTAGTTGATACAGTACCTAAACTTGGGAGGTTCCTCCAACTGTCGGTAAATCAGTTGTATTAACTGGTATTCTGGTGATAGCAATGTGCTTTACTCTGTGACATAACTTTTGTGAAGTCTGTGAAAACTTATTTTTCATGTAGATGCTGGTTAGCGAGTGTGTTAGCTTGCTCCACCACAAGCTAGTTGCCGAACATTAAAAGCACCCAATAGACAGGTCTGCTTTACAGGGGTGCAAACTCATCAGGGAAAAAAAGGTGACAAAGTGAAAAAGCACATATGGAAGGCAAACCTAACCTCTGCCTCAATGAAGGGGGCGTGCAAGAGCCTGGAAAATGGACTTCCATTCCAGTGACGTTATAAATAAATAATGGGAGACCAATGCCAGAGCTAAAAGGTTTGCTTCAAACGACGGGACATAAGATAACTCGATCGACTACTCACATTCAAAGACAAATTGCTTTGGAAATGTTTGGAACCTCAAGAATAGATTTCGCTTTGGACGAACAGAATAAATATTAGCAAGAGGGAGGGAGGGGGCTTCTAACCCCTCATTCGCTAACATTACATTGATATCAGAGTAAGCCTTTGATTTCTCCGTTGATTTCCCATTATTTATTTTAGGATTTTTTAATGTAAAGGTAAGGTAGGTAAATTTTTTGTCGTTTTCTCGCTTCGATTTTTCAAAAGTTCCCGAGAAATAGACACTGTACTATCCGATAACACCGTTATTCTAACCAGCAAAAATGGTTGATGTGATTATTTTTATTGCAGATCTACATGAATCACACAAATTACCTATTTTGAACAAAAACGGCGAATTTCGCCGAAAGTTTGCACCCCTGGCTTTAACGTGTAGCTGGAACGTTTTTTCAAATGACCAATAATTAAAGCTGTTCATCAATCGTTCCCTTTTCGCCAGTGTATGCTAATGGCCAGCATGCAGACTAAAGTTGTCATTATAAGTAGGTAAGTTCTCTCAAGGGTCTTTTATTGTGAGAAATACAACTCAAACATTGGTGGATTTGAGTTTACATGAAGCTTTTTCTTCATTTAAAAGAAAAATGATTTTTTTTTTTACATAGGCTATATTGTGTTGAAATGCAAACTGCATTGGTTCTTGCATTGTTGATAGAAAATCATATTTGTGACAAAGATTTTTTTTTCTCTCATTAAAAATTAGAGAAGGTAATTCATCTGTTTTCTGATTTTCTTTAATTATCAAATACAGTAGGAAGTGATTAGCAACCTCTGAGTAGCAAAATTTAGAAAATCGAGATCGTTTTATCGGTTTAGAATCGAATCGTTGACCTCTGAATCGGAATCGAATCGAATCGTGAGGTGCCAAGAGATTCCCACCCCTAATATTCATTGTATTCTGCATTAACAATATAGGAGACAGAGACTTTTCAAAGTAAGGACGGACATGAGCTGGCTGCGTTTTGTTGAAGCACTTTGTTTTATTGTGCAAACATGAAGATCATACATACTGATCAGAATATTGATGGTTGTGTCGGTTTCCTGAGCTCAAGCTGAGCGGAGTTTTAGAGCGTTAAAAACGTTTAGAAGCTGGCGAATGTCAACAAGAGTGAGCTTAAAGATGTTTCATCTCTGTCAATGATAGATGCATGGGTCTTTTCAATGCTTTTAAATAAGACATCAAAGGGGAGAAGGAGCTAATAATTGCAGGAGGAAAGCACATTATTTATAGCCTATTAAGCGCTGCACAACTGGGAAAAGTTTATTTTAATATATTTTGGATATATAAAAATACTGTTAATGTATATTAGAATTTTGGCAGAACGTTTTTTATTCATTTATTTGGTGCAGAATGCGTTTTGTATTTAAACAAGGTCTGAGCGGTATGGCCAAAAACTTGTATCCTGGTATATCACAGTTTCCTGGTATATCACAGTTTCTTTTTTTGGAATAAACATGTCCGTTCATTCATTCACCCCGAAGAGGACCACTGGCCACCTGAACAGCCAACGTGCTTGCAACTGGCCTGCGTGTTAGTTTGTGTGCATCGCTGGTCTCTAGTTCGCTCTTTTCCGTGTTTTCATGTAGTCACAGAGTTTGTTCTTGTCGCGATAGCAGGTGAGCTGTACCCATCATGCAGTTTGCCGGTGTAATTTTATAAATGTAAAGTTATCAATGCTGAGACCAAACCTTGAGACTCCCCCCTGAATTTGCCCCAGAGGAATGCTTCACCTGTAACATGAAATTAAACAGCTCCAGTCCGTAGCCATGCCGCTGAACGCCCTCTGCGATGTAGAAATCCAGAACACACAATGGCTCGGCTTCTATATGGACACCCTGTCGGTCCTGTGGAGGAAATACAACCAGCTAACCGTAAGCAAGCTGAAATGCACATATAATCAGTTATAGCTCAACCAACAAGTCGGAGAAATCTGAAAAAGAGAAGTGACTCACAAGCAAAAATAACTTCTTGTAGCCAACCTTGAGAAATCCCACGGCCACACCACGTCCTCTGTGTGAGGGGGAGGCAGAGAGTTTGGTTGGGATGAAGAAGTAGAATAGCAATGAGTAAGAGTGTGCTCTGAAGAACACAACACAAGTGCATGCATTGTGACCTCAGCGTGACAAACAACGTTTGAACATGTGGTGTACCCGTTGCTCTCTCCGTCCTTCAGCAAGTAGAGCTGATGCCTCTGCGACTGCAGCTTTGAGGCACTGGTTATGGATGCTGGGAGCTGTTGGGCCTGTGGGCACACAACATGACCACTGTTAAATGTGTACCAACAGTTAAAGACTTGCTTTTTTGGTACTGGTGCAGATATGACATCAGAGTTTTGGTACTACAACAACACATTTCCTAATACCTTACTTTATAAAAATATCAAGCTCTTATTGGTACGCTGCAGCCACAGCAAAGGACAAGGGCAGGCTGCAGCGTGTCATCCGCTCTGCAGAGAGGGTGATCGGCTGCAATCTGCCGTCCCTCCAGGACCTGTTCGCTTCTAGGACCCTGAAGCGAGCTAGAAAGATCTCACCCCAGACAAAACCTGTTTGTGCCCCTTCCATCTGGCAGGAGGCTGAGGTCCATCAGGACTAAGACCTCCCGCCACACGAACAGTTTCTTCCCGTTGGCAGTCGGGTTCGTCAACAGAGCCGGTCCCCCACTGACTGACTATAACATTCCACATGTCACTTTCTTTCTCACTTTCTGTTTGCTGGTGCACTTTATTTTTAATTTCTAAATATTTTTAACTTTAACTTTTATTCCTTTATTTTTAAACTAACCCATACCCTTATACTACTAACGGATAGCATTATATTTTATATTATGCCACGTGCACCGTCTTGTCGTCCATTGTCGTACTGTCTGCTGTTACGCACCAACCACCAAGTCAAATTACTTGTATGTCTGACATATTATAGCAATAAATGTTTCCTGATTCCTGATTGACCATCAATTAATCTCCACCCACCCTTTATTATCGTGAATTCCTTGTTTGTTTCCAAAGGAAACCAAGAGTCAAAAAAGGGAAAAGTGTTGAATAATTCAAGTTAACACATCATCTCATTTAAGCCTCATTTATCCAGCCATATGCTCACTACTTGCCACATGTGTTTATAAACACATCGGGAAAGCCGCTGCATGCCATGCTGTTCGTTAAGTTTATCTTTAGTTTACTTTATACATTGTGTTACTATATATTATATAGTACCTGCACATGCAGTACATATATCCTCATGAGTATCTATTAATTTGTATCAATTAGATACTCATTGGGCTCGTTTTTATCTACTTTTTCTGATTCGATGATGCATTTCATTAAGCCTCCTGCCAGCAGCTACATTAAAAAAAATCTGATTGATTGGGGTGATGAGGCACTTAAAATGAAACTTTACAGCATCTGGAAGATATTCACAGCGCTCCACTTTTTCCACATGTTACAGCCTTATTCCAAAATTGATTAAATTAATTTTTCCCTCCAAATTTTACGCACAAAATGACGACAAAGTAACAAAAGCTTGATCGGCGTGCACCGAAGCTCAATTTTGAGTGTGAACAATTCAAACAATATAAACAGATAAGATACATACGTTAAAACATGCATGTCTGTCCATATGTTTGGTGAGAGAAACTGGCTAGCTGTAACTCAACATGTCATACAACAGGTCAGATGAAAGTTTGTTCTTTACACATACATCTCAACAACAAATTAAATCATAAACATAACACCACATCATCAGAGATTTACCTTTGCAGAGGCTCTCCCGAGTTCATCAATAACTGTGGCTATGCGGGCTTGAAGTTGTGGCCTACAGAGACAAACACAACACAGTAACTAAGTACATCCCAATCCATAAAGGGAAGGTGTCCGTTTCCTCTAGATGCTGCACCTCTTCCTCCCGGGTTCACGTTTAACAGCTTTTTATAACACACACCATGATGTCATGTTCTGAAATGTGCCTGGTCGTGTTTCTATTATTAATAAATTACAGAAGAATTGAGAAAAGGTGACATTGTGTGTACAGGGGGGATCCAGTTGTTGGTGTCAGCTAACGTTACAGATAACGTAACGTTACCAGAGAGAAAATGAATTCACATCTTAGGACTCACATTCCTGTTGATGTACGACCTGCAACGAGGGTCTGGTCCAGGACGGAGACCCTCTCGGAGAATAACTGGTTAATGTCAAAAGGAAACTCCATGATAGCTATCAGACAGATTCGCAGTGATGAATGGTCAGCTAGCAGAAGGAGACAATGCGGAGACAAGGGGTTCAGTCGGCCAGCATCGAGCTAACGGGCTGTGGCCTCGCTTACGAGGCGGATTAGTCTGTGGAAAAACTACAATACTCAAACCGCTAGCAGTCCAGATACTACAACATTTCGACAAAGCGTCGCCCAAGTGCGAGGGAGCCTTAATAAGAACCAATTTGCGCCGCAAGGGCGGCTAACATTAGCTGCATCGGGGACAGCGAGCCACAGGCTACCGTAATGAGCCTAAGAAGAGTCAGCTACACCGGGCCAGCGAGTCACACATTACCGTAATGCGCCTAAAAAACGTTAGCTTCTGCTGCCACTATTATTGGTACTACATGTAATTAATATGGGATCATGGTATTATTAGGGTCCTCGCTACGACTAGTCGGAGAGGAACCTATTGTATTTCATGGAATTATTATTGTTTTCTCTAAGGAATTTTCCCTTTTTGAGGCCTTTATCATATTCAAAAAGTTGATAAATTTGGCATGCATATCAGAACTAGTGAAAAATCTGATAATTTTGGGGTCTCGCATTTGAGTATCAAGAAATGTCCCTATAGCGCTCCCTATTGGGCCACACTAGGCCAGATTTTTCCCCCAATCCCCGATTGACTTGAAATTTGGCACACATGTGCACTTGGACATGCTCTACAAAAATGTCAATCATGGTATGCAAGACTCATAACTTCCAGATAATTTGACCTGCCCTCACTAAACTTGTTCCACATGTGAACATTGAACCCCTGACCACACCCTGATTTTTTGAGAATATTTGAAGAATAGGGGGCGCTGCTATTAATCGTTGAAAATCTGCCTTTTTGTCCTATGTTTGGCCTATTTTCGAGATTTCTTGGAGTTGTAAAAGACCGAACTTCTTCCTGGAATTAAACCCGATTCTTTTCAAATTCGCGCAGTGTGATCTTGAGGACCTAACCTCTAAAAATTGCATTTTGCCGGAAGAAATTATGTGTGTAGGGCATTTTCAAAAAAAACACCATTCGGCATGAAAAGTTGTTTTAACTCGACCATACTTTATCCAATCTGCTCCATATTTCTCATATAGCATGAACATCGCAACCTGTAGACGTCCATATGATCATTTTTAACCTTGCACCACCTGGGAAAAACAGGAAGTTGATTGTTTTTTTTAATTTTACATCCTGCTCCTCAAAGGTTATGCTCCTCAAAAGTTAATCTGATCCCTCTCACATTTTATTAGCAGAGAGGTAAGACTTTGATAATGCTTCACTGCGAATATTATAAGAATCCGATAATCGTGGCGAGTGGGTGCATCGGCAAAGTTGATCCTTCGCCAAGAACAACTAAACTGTTGTAACTCTACTCCACAACATCGGATTCTTTCCAATGTACACATGAGTTTGATGAGACTCTGGGCCTGAAGTGATGTGAAGTTGAATCAAGTCAAAGCGCCACCTACTGATAACAGGAAGTGAAATTTTCTAGTATCCAATTAAAAACAAAGGTGTCATTTCAAGAGGCTTTAATTTCTTAAATCAGAATGTCCTGGTTATCATAGAGCGACACCTTGGGGATGTGTACTCTCTGCCTGAAGTGGAAATACTGTGTAACTATTAGTTGTTTCCTTTTAAATCTAATCTGAAATTGACCAGATGTAGTCTTGTGAAATTTTGTCTCATGTATGGTATTTTGAGAGGCTTTCATTTTGGAATAGAGCATCAGAATGTCTTTCTTATCCCTGGGTGACATCTTGGGGATGTGTTATCAGTCTTAATTGAAATTATCATGTTAGTATTGATAGTTTCCTTTTAATCCTAACCTGAAATTGACCAAAAGTAGTCTCGTGATGGAGAATGTGATACAAATTGGCTCATGTATGGTATTTTGAGAGGCTTTAATTTTGAAATGGTATATCAGAATGTCCTGGTAATCACTGAATAACACCTTGGGGATGTGTACTATCTGTCTGAATTGAATTCATCTTGTAACTATTGATAGTATCCTTTAAAATCTAATCTGAAATTGACCTGAAGTAGTCTCATGAATTAGATCTTGAAGGAAGTTGGATATTAAAAATGAAGTTTGCAAAGCAGCATTCCTGGTGTACATCCTTAAGGTTAATGACAACTGACTCTTGGAAGCTTTGTCCGATGGCCGCAGAAGTTCTTGGCTGCGTTTCTAGCCGTCCGGCCGGTGCCCCGACAGCGAGGACCCGTCCAACCCTGCTCGCAGCTTTAATTAAAATTGTACTTTACATGTTGTAATTAAATGCTGTGAAGAACAAATGCATTCTGGTAAACAAGAGTAGCATGATTAGATGACAATTCAAAAGCTAAATATATTCCCTTTATAGATAATCCCTTTAAAAACAGTTTTAAAGGTGTCTATCATGAACTTTACCTTTGCCTTTTATGCAGGGTTAATGGGCTATTACAAACCTATTTACGCAGCTATTTTATCAGCCTATATTCATGTCACAGATGTATTTATATCTATTTGCCTAAAACTCTATATCCAACCTGCTTCTTTATCCTTGATCTTTTGGGGATCCCTCTTGGATAGTTAACCAGAACTGATTATTAGAATTCATTTATTGTAGATCCATATGAATAAATTCACTACGAAAATAAATGTGTCCATTGTGTAGATGTCAACAAGCAGCAAGCAGTAAGCGAATGTCATAATCATTAATCATTTTGGACCAGACCATTGACTGACAGTAGTCTGTTAATTAATGTTGTGAGTGTTATAGAAGATTGAGTCGAATATGTGAGTCAATACTATATTCATGTGTTATAATTATTTTATTCATGTAAATAAACAGGTATTTCTGTCTCGGCCCCTAATTAAGTAAACCGTCTTACTGTTTTTATGAGCACAATTGAGTGGCCAGTGTTACCACATGGTGGAGCTTCAAGAAGACACATTCTGAAGCCTGGTGGAAAGAGATGCAGCATTTATGTTTCTGGTTTAGTCCTAAGCTGTGTTTTTTACAATAAACAACAATAAAACTACATACTATAAAACACATATGTAGTTATACCAGCATTAAAAGTGGTATCAATAGTATTAGTAAGAAGATAGCAACGTATACTAAAGAACCTGAATAAATTAGTGGAAAAACCCAATGAAAAGATTTCTCTCATCCGCATTTGTGCCCGTGCCCACCAGTGGTGTTGTACAAAAGATTTCAGACACAATAATTGCAAAATGACCTGAGTCCACATCATAAAAATCATTCATCATATTCTAAGTGAAATATTATAATACGTACTGCTTTGTTATATGTGTAACTTTGTGCCCAATGAACGGCAGAACTAGACCTGCTCTAGGACCAGCGCCCTATTCCTTGTAAGTGGTTCAACTAAATCGAGCTTAGCCAGCTCAAATTAACGAGATGATTAATATCTGGCTATCTCGGGTTCTCAAAGGCTGATCTGCGCTGAAACAGTCTCGTTAATTTGAACCCTTCTGATTGGACAGACGGACTGTCTGTCTTTTAACCCTCTTAGTCCGAAGCCTTTCGCCCGCGACGGAAAGTGACATGGAGGATTCAAATAACAGTGACTCCTTAACTATTTGCACAATCAACGTAATTGTAACGGATTCTGAAAGCTGAGAAATGCTGTTTTCTAGATATTATGGTAATCAAGAAATCAGTAGCGGGAGAGCCTGTGATGAGGATGAGGGGTGGAAGTGAGCGCAGCAGGAGAGCCACAGCAGAATGTCACAGAGAGATGGCAATGTTTTACGAGTGTCTTAAAAGTGTCCTACTAGTGTTTCACCATTGTTTTACTGGTGCCGCCACGGCTCGGGGACCGGAGTCCGATTCCTTGGCGTGAGGAGTTGGATGTGTGGCGGGAGTGCGTGACAAGAGACCGAAATGCGTGCGTATGCAGTGATTGGTCCTAATAACTCCAGTAACATACTGGGAAGGTCGCTACTTAAAAGTCTATTCTATGGGGAAACTTTCATCCACCTTCTACAGGGGCCTCTGCTCTTCAACAGGCAACAGGGTGACCAGTTGCTGGACATCTCTATGAAGGACAGTAGCTCGGACCTCCAAGTTTTGTCCATCAGGTTTTGGTTTCTTTGCGCTTCCAGCTCTCATCACAGGAACACTGTAGCTTGAAAAGACCCTGACATCCACATCCCTCACAATGCCTTTGCGGTCTGGATTGGTGCTGATGTCTCTGCCGAGCTTGAACTGTCCCCTCATTGCATTTTGGTCACACAGCCAGACGATGTCCCCAACAACGACATTTCTCTCTGTGGTATGCCACTTGCTTCTCACAAAAAGATTGGGACCTGAATGGTCCCAATCTTTTTGTATGTTGACTCCAGCTCTTCCAGAACTTGGTCACCTCGGATTGCATCACACTAAGCCTTTTGTAAGGGTAGCTGGTAAAGTCAAAGGTCTTAACGTCTCCATTTTGAGAAGCTTGTCCGAGCAAGAGGGAATTTGGTGTTACATACTGAATACAGTCTTCCCGGCTCTGCATCCTGGCATCAATTGGACGCTCATTCGCAAGGTTGGCTGCCAAGTACAAAGCTGTGTGAGACTCACTGTAACTCAATAGAGAATCCTTCCCAAGACTCTGGAGTGCCTTCTTCACAATGCGTACAGCAGCTTCTGCAGCACCATTTCTGTGTGGGGAATCAGCAGGATGGATCTTCCAAGCCCACACGGTTCCATTCCTCGCAGCAGTCTCCTCCAAGGCAGCTTTGTTCCGGCTGTCCAAGAAACTGTACAGTTCTTCCAGGACCAGCTTTGCCCCTATGAAGTTGGTACCTGGGTTTGACCAGATCTTTCTTGGATGCCCCCGGATTGCTGTGAACCTTTGGTAGGCCATCAGGAACACTTCAGTGGACACAGAGCTTGCCCGTTTAGTGTGGATGGCTTTGCTGGCCATGCAGCAGAATACCACACCCGAGACCTTCAGAGTCACTCTTCCTGACGTCATCATTCACCTGGTAGGGTCCAAAAAGGTCCACAGAGGTACAGTGCTCCCGGAAAGTATTCACAGCGCTTCACTTTTTTCCACATTTTGTCATGTTACAGCCTTATTCCAAAATGTATTAAATTCATTATTTTCCTCAACATTCTACACACAACAACCCATAATGACGACCCAACATGTACATAAGTATTCACGGTCTTTGCCGTGACACTCAAAATTTTGCTCAGGTTCATCCTGTTTCCACTGATCATCCTTGAGATGTTTCTACAACTTGATTGGAGTCCACCTGTGCTAAATTCA